AAGCTTTTTAATTTTGTTTAATATTTTATAATAATTGAGTGGGTATACACTTTTTTGTCATTTAATGTGTTTTTATTAAAAGAATACAATTTTGCAACTACGTCTAAATATCTATTTTTCTGATTGTTGCGTAAGGAACAAACAATATAAATTCTGATTTGTAGAACATTACTGCATTAAAAATATTGACATAAGACAATGAATATTATAATTTATAAACAATATAAACCATTAAAAACACAAATGATACTTTTTATAAGACACACGATTTTCAATATGAATCACAATCATAGATATTAACAACGATTGGATTTAGTTAAAATATTGACAAAAAAAAAATATTGAAATAATAATTACATTCATTATAATTAAAATATCAAAAAAAATATTACAGAAAAACGGGAATATCTTCTAAAAACCAGTTTTTAATAATCTGGACAAAATGTTCACCTTATTTCCGTATATTATATTATTAGTTATGACATAGAATATACCTAAATTATTTATAAATATAATTTTATACACTATTCTGGAAACATCATACTATAATAATAATGTTGCCGTGTTTGATCATTATTATAATTATTAATTTATAACACACGATCGACAATGCCAACTAATAATTTTTGGAAATAAACGATTTTAAACTGTGTTTTAACTCCCAAACCTAAATACGCAATAAATGGAAAATAAATATAAAAATAAACCAATTATTATCTATCTCAATTCAAACAAAACAAAAATATTAAAGCAATTATGCAGTATGCACTTTTAATTAAATTTTCAATAAAATTCAATACAAAATCCGTCTAAAAAATAGGACTTGCCGACTTGGTATCAAATTCAGCTTTGCGCCTTTTAAAATGTAGTGCTCTAAGCAATTGTTTATACTGCCTATACGTTAATCCGGTCCTGCTGATGTTTTAGAGTTGAGACTAATTATTTATAAAAAAGAATAATTTTTGCCCAATACAGAAAAATGTTAGACAGACCCAAATTGTATCTTGATAAATTTTAGATATGCATAAGCATACCCTGCAATACCCCAAATGACACCCCTGTTCTGTGGTGGTACAAATTAATTTTTTTCAAATAAAAATCAATCGTTTTACTGTGCATTTAAGTTGTTGATTTTTTTTAAAAATGACATTGTTACATTTAAATTGAAATTTAACGGTTTGTTTTTGAATTGATAAAACTTTGTGTACAAAAAATATTAAATATGTTTTTAATTATATATGTAAACAAAATATAAAATATAAATGTAATTGTAATAATACATTTATCCAGCCATCATTCGATCATCAACCGTGTCCGTCCAATACCATAGTGATGACATCTTCGACGACGTACTCGACTAAGCTAAGGCGGAGTCTTCGAGGATATTTTCTATTTTTCTAAGATAAACTTAGATATTAATTATTATCATACAATAATATATAATATCATATTATCTTAGTTCATGGGCTGAGCGTACAATTTCGTTTAATTTGATCTGTGATGAATACATAATTTAAATTTAAATACGATAACTGCTCGCCATCTACAGTTGCGCTTTTTAAGAAATTTAACGCGTTCTTTTGTCGTTAGATGTCGCAGTCATTATGATTTTTGTTTTTAATATATTTTCAAATTTATAACTTCACAAAACAACTATAACATGGATTACGATGTTTGTTTTTTTTTTTTCTATATCGAGATTGGCCAATGACCAATGTTTAATATGAATAATGAACAAATAAGCTTCAATAATATGCTAAATAAATACATATATTTACAACAGAAAAAATGCACATGTCTGTCACCTAACGAGTAACGACTAACACCGAAATTTATTCATTTAAAGTGAATTAATGAAGTATAGAAATAAAATTACTATTATTCATACTGCCGTTACCAAGTAGATTCACTTTTCTTCCATTAGAGATATTGAAGATTGAAGCACTTTTTTCCATTGCAATAACTATCTTTAATCGTGCACAAAAAACATGCACACACACGGTAAAATTCATCATTCTGCTCGGGATCCCAAAAATAACGAGTTACAATTTTGAATTCATTCAATACCCACATTTGCTACGAATAACTAAGCGTTCATGCACGTTCCTTTGCCATTATGTTCTACCAAATCGATTACAACCAATGGCCAATGGCCAATGCATATACATCAATAAATTAATATTATAGAAGAATTCCAACAATAATTTTAAAAAAAAAAAAAGGTAACCTAATATTGTTGATTTCAAACCGTGAGAATCCTCTTGTAATATATTATAATATATCACTTATATACACGATTTTCGTATAAATTTGTTGAATAACAGTTAAAGATCGTCTTTAACGCCCATCGTCGTAAAAAAACGCATCGTGCCTTGTATATTGACTGTGGCCAACGACTCTTTCATGCCGGCCGACGTTTTTTTTGTGTTAGGATTGGAAAAATATACATCCAATGGGCGGATACGGTCGGATCTCGGAACGAATGTCGATGGTGTAAAAGTGACAAGTCGAACGACCAGGGCACGATGAGCAAGTCGCCACGGTCAGCGAGTTAGACTCGGAGTTTCGGCGGCGGCGACAAGCATGCGATCCCGGTACGCGAGGACCTAACCTAACTCTTGGTTTAGGTCGCGGGTTCCGCATTTCACTTGGAATGTGACGAGACCGATAACTGACGGGCCGTTTACGCCGCGGCCGCCGTTGCCAAATGCGCCGGAGCGGACACGGACACGGAACTGTTCAGTGACGGTGCTCGTGCGCCGCTAAATTCGACGGACGGTACCAGGGCACTATGCGCCGCCCGGTCTTTCGTTGCCGCGGTCTATTACACCTACCGCAATGACAGTAGCGTTGTGGCGGCGATGCAATTAATGCAATTCACGTGAAACGATGAAACCCTAACAAGTCTGATTATAACGTTATCGTATCTAATAATATGTTTCATTTTTCATTATTTGTTATTATAATTATTATAATATTATTATCGTGTTATGCTATATTGCTGAGCGCGGCGTTTACTAACGTGTTTATTCGTATTACGCAGTGTTTTTCATCGGATTTAATAGCCAATTGGTACTCACTAGTCACTACTCACCATTTATTTTAAAGTCCGAGTAACACCGAAATGGCAATAAAATCTTCAACTTGTAAGTTAACATGTTTTTAAATTGGTAGGAAAACGTTAGGATTATACTATAGTTGTATATATGTATAAAATTTAGATGGCAAATTACGGCCCGTTAAACTAGTGCAGTAAAAACGGCGGGAAACGCAGAGTATTAACGATCAACGATCATCAAGCAAGACTTCGGACTTTTTCAATAATTCTTCAATCAACTTTTTATAACTTTTTTTTTGTTATTAGTGTTATAATTTTAGACATGCGACGTTTACACTTGTTCGTGTTTTTAATTTATTTTATTCACAATTTCCGTTTCTTAATAATAATATCTAATAATTACCTAAATCTATAAAAGTTTGTATAAATTTGTTTTAAAAATTGTAATATTTTGTTGATTAGTAAATTATTTATTTTTTCATTCTGATTCGTATAGGTAACATTCCGTTAAAATATTTTTTTTAGAGAATTGAATTCCTTAAGTTATACACTTATACGTATTAAGTTGTTGGGGTATTTTTCTTTAGCCATTAAGAAACCATGAGTTAATAACTTTATATAGCCAATTCTCAATCCAATTATTACTGAATTGTTTTTTTCTATTTTAGTCATTTGTGTGCTACTGGTTTGCTCTTTTTATTTCGTTACGTATTTGATTCTGCTTGTCAACATTTCTAAAATTACTGTTTGATTTTCAGAATTTGTTTACGTTTAGTTTTCATAGATTTAATTTTTTTTTTCGGGCTATCTTCTTTACAGTTAAAAATTCAATTTACGTTGTGGTTGCCTCTCTACGTAGATAACAATTATTAAAATAACTTATTAATAATGCACAAATTTTAATGTCCTAAAAAATATCAAGAAAATACTTTAAAAAATAATCAAAAATGACCAATATTTTTATTATAGATAGGCAAAAACTACAAAAACGACAGAAAAACAACAGTTTAACTTTTGGAATTTTTATCTTAATTAAATTAACAACAACACAAAAATAAAATACCAAACTTATCGATAAGCAAATGAACAACATTGAAGATACTATAAATTTGCAATCGCGACGTATCTCCAATTGACCAATTTAATTATTTCGTGATATGATATCCAATAATAATCTCTGGAAATAGAAAATAGATTAAGACGTTATCGCATTAATGTACAAAATGATTGATATTTATTGGCACGGATGAAAAATACCTAAAAATTATTCAAGTAAATATTTTGTAAACAATATATACGTATATAGGTTAGGTTTTTAACGCTAAACCTTGTGCAATGAATTAATATTTGCACTGAAAAATTATAAAAATTGATAAGATCACTTAAAAACGCTAAAAAATACGAATTAAAAGTTTCGCCTCTAAGCTCTGACGTATCTATCAAATACGCCAATAGTTGAACAATAAAATTGTACAATTAGTCAAGTGCATAGTTCCTACAGGTGGCTGTCATAGCAAATACTGGTGATGGGGTCACATTTATATTGGCCGTTCCTTTGTCTTGTATCACATTTACCGACAATCCTCGGGAACGACACCAGTGACAAATAATCGTGTAAGTACGACTGTACAAGTATGCCGATCTGACAGCAGACAAGCCACCGATACTAAATATTGGCCAAGTACATCAGTCGTGGGAATGCGACTTATTGGACGAATTATGGACTTTGAGGTTTTCGTCTTTGTCTTATATAACCCGAAATACCTATAGGTAAGCACTTTGCACAGAAATTCAGACTCTGGTATCATAAACAACAGTCAACAACGCACATAAATATTATTTATTGCGTAATATCAATTATCATCACAAAAGTAGTTGTTACTGACGCGGCGGCGGCTGCCGTCTGGTCGCGAGCATTCATCGTACCCTGGTCCGTCATCGTCGGTCCAGCGCAATGAGAGCTGCACCAACTAGCAATCGAGCCCGCCCATGATAATCCTAGCCCGTCCGGCGGGCGCGCGAGATTATGGATGACGGCGCCGTAGCCTTCCGAGTACTAAACCACGGATTAAACCGAGCGCCGAGGGTTAAGTTTGATACCGCAATAACAGGGTACCATGCAACCACATTGTTTGACGACACCGCGGCGACGGCCTACGGTAGACCACGCGACACGTCGAGACTAGCGAGTCGCCGCGCAACCACGCTCTCTCGCGTTTCGTGCTCTCGTTATCATTTTCCGTTGTCGTCCGTCGCACGTTGCTAATGTTGCTATTGTGTGATTTGTACTATTTGCAGTTGTTGTATGGTCGGTGGACGGACGTTTGGAGTTCGGGCCAAAGACGTCGACGGCGAATTACCGAGTGGTACACTCTTGAACAGTTTTACTATAATATTGTAGCTGGTGACTATTATAGTAAATACTTCTAAGTAAGTAAAAATCCACTACGAATGACATTACTGTGTATGGTACCCTGCACTTTATGTAATTTATTAAAAGATTTTAATTGAAATACTGTTTTTAATATTGTATCTACATAGGTACGTAATTTGTACACGCTCGTGTGTTTCGTCGCGAGGGTTTTTATTTTTTATTAACCGTTACGATTGATAACGACAACAGGTACATGATTTTATATTTATTATATTTTATTGTTTATGATGTAGAAGATAATATGATAGGTCTCGAAAATATTTTATTATAATTTTGATGAAATGTCCGAGATATTACTTATTTAGCTTTTTATTGTTGTTTATTTATCAAATCTGTTATTAAAAGTATTCTTATTACCTGCTTTTAATAAAACTTATAGAAAATTGAAATGTTAAATCTGTCGACTAATTGAAACTTGCCATTTATTAGTTTTTAAATTATTTATATAATTGTTTAGAAACAATTTAAAAATAAACCATATAAACAAAAACTAATAATTTTAGTACATATGGGCCTTCATATATGGCCGTGTACTCTTTAGGTATGATATATTATTATTATCGTTCATCTTATTGACAACCTATTTATTATATTAAAATATTTATTTTATTAGTATCATTTTACTCACAGACACACAATATATTATAATTTATAATTATATTATAGTGTTGTCTACGTTACACTGTATTTTTCAACCATTTTTTATTTATTTTAATACATACAAGTAAAGTAAATCCTGTAATTTTAATTATTATCGCTTATTACCTTAAAAAAACAATTTTAATTATGATGAATTTATTTTATTTTAACATTGTAAAATCAATTGACTTAATTCCTTGTACACAAAATATGTACAATATATACCTAATAGGTATTGTTAGTAAAATTAATCATCAATATATTATTAAATATTTTTTAAACATTTAACCAGATAAAAAAAAATAAAAGTTTATTAATTTATAACTAATATTTAGTTTGTCAATAAATGGTAGTATCTACTTATTTATAGTTGTAATAAAATAATTATTATTCCTGATATCATCCATACCTATCTAATTCTACCCCGTAAATTATTTTTAAATCAATATTCATCAAATATTGTAAATTGCATAGTACTTATACTAATTGTACAAGTATATTATGTCTATTTTTATAATTATAAACAAATATTGGGCTCCGGCTTTGAATATTTTGATTATGAATCTATAATGTTTTTATGCTTAATTTATACTCTCCTTGCATACAGCTATTTATAAAAAACATCAACGGTTTCTTAATTTTTCTTTATTTTAGAAACATATTATGATTAACATTTCATAATTAATTATACGTTTTCCTTTAGAATTTTCATATAACAACAAAAATCAATAATTTTACACCAATACATCAAATATTTCTAATAGATACATATTTAATCGAAGAAAATATCTTCTATAATAATAATAAAAAATTACACGAAGATTAAGCACGCTCACTATCGAAGATAATGCGTTTGTGATTTACTAGTTAGGTACCCTTTCGTTTATAATATTTATGATATCAATGAAACTTAGTTAACCCTTTAATCTTTAAAATTACTTATGCTATGAGAACATAATATTATTAAACTAAATAGTAGTTTGAATTCATGGGCGTAGCTAAAATTTTAATCAATTAGGGGGGGGGGCAATTGACCTTTTTTTGCTTTTTCCATTTTATAGTAAAACTTACACATTTGGTATAAGAAATAGAATTTAGATTGAAGTGCAGGGGTTGGCACTTGTCAACCTGCCCCAACTTTGCTACGTCCATAGGTTTGATGAATTATGACTATTATAGACTTGCCCAACAAGTAACAAAACTTGATTTGTTTAAAATTATTAATATCATTTTAATAAAATAATATTACTTTATTTGACTCAATGTTGGACCAAACATTCTGTAGTTAACCTAGGATTTAAGTTACACTGATTTCAATTATCTAAATATCATAAATTCATTAAACATTATTTCATTGAATTTGAAAATATTTAAGGATTAAAGTGATATAATTATATGTGAAATTTGATAATGAAAACAATGGATTATTGAAATTAGTTATAGCTTATAGATAATAACTGCATTTCAAATTATGTTTTATTAACTTTGCAATGACGTAATTATATTTATTTTAATTTTAGTAACACATTAACTTAATAATTAAGTAATGAAAAATTTAGATATGTGTTAAATTATTATTTAATAAAATGAATAATATTTTATTATCGATAAATATCTTATAAATTTTAATTATCGATTTACTCGTTTAATTCCATCACTTCCATCGTTATTTTGGCAAATCAGGATACACACCGTGATATTTGAAAATAATAAAACAATCACTAAAGTTGCGAAAACTATATAAACCTATTCTATTAGCTGTGTATTTCAGAAAATTCATTATGCATAAAAAATCCATTCGGGTATCTGCTGACATCGAACAGGTGTATTTGTATCCACGATCGGATGAGATCCAACGTTAGCAATTTAGCATTAAACAATTTAAATGTGTTTTAAATGATAACATAAAATTATTTTTGACTGACATTGGTTCAATTGACTTAGGTGGTGCGCTCTGTCAGTGGTCTGTCTGGTCTCATCAAATTATGTTTCGAGCACTTTGCCAGTCTGTTTTTTCCCGCTTTACCGGCTACCTGGTTGTACGCGTGCTTGCTACGTTATCAACTCATACTAAATCGCTGTTTATCATTCACGTATAAATGTTTAATAATAATAATAATATATATTTATACACAGTAGTACTGTACAGAATTCTCAATCTACCGTCTACAGCGCTCTAAATATTATTTTGGCACGCGCGACGACCATGCAGCAGCTACCTACGAATATTTTTGCAAATCCTATTTCACGGTACATGTTGATGAGACTTGTGGCTCCTGCTGACTAGGTTACAGCCAACCGGCGTCGATTGCTGTTTTAATTCTTCAAACTGAATGTAAGTACAACTTCTGGCGCTATCCTCAATACTATTGTAATATTATTATGTCCGTTGTCTTCTATTCATACTTTGTCTTATCTAAAAATTGTCAAGTTTAGATGTATAAATAATGCATAGCCTTGAGCGGTAGATAAAGTTATAATTCATTGTAATAAATGATTTGGACCTTCAATTATTATACACCACAAAAGTGCTTCACCATTCGGTACTAAAACGGTTAAACGTTCATGGCCAGTTATGTGTCAATCAACTTACATCTTTTTGAAAATGCTTTTTTATCGTTTCTCCATTTTGCACTCTTAAGTTCTAACTTTCTAACAATTTTATCATTTTATATTATACATACTTATTATTTTAAATAAAATAATCAATATGATATTATGTTTATATTAATATTAAAAATATTAGTATTTCATGAATGAAGTGAATCAACAATCTTGATTGCTTGATTAAATTCTTTGATTTTTTTATGCTTTTCAATAAAACTTTGACTTCAAAATAAAACCTATATTCGTATTAGTGACAAATTTGTTTTAAAATAACTATTTACATTGCATCACAAAAATTTAGTTTTTATTAATTTATAAATAGGAAATAATATATACATGTTTAAATACTACAGACATCAACATTTTAAATGTTGTGAAAGTATTGAACTTTTATACACACATACACTAAACTGTCAGTTTAAGTATCAAACTATGTATAGTTTTTTTTTGATAATTGTTATGCAAAAATCTTGATTTTTTTTTAAATTCAGAAATCCGTGTAAGTTTCTTAAGAAATAATAAGTATTTGCCTTTATTTTTACAAGCTACATAAACATTTTTTAATGAAAGAATATTATTGTTGTCCCTATGATTATTCCCAATAGATAAAATAGAAATATTAGTGTACTGTTTATTATATTGAATAAATTCACTTAAAAATTAAATATAAACATAATTTTAATATTATACATTGACATTTATAATTCATGTGAAATATTTTTTTAGGTGATTCAGTTAAAAGTTATATAATATAATCAAGATTAAACATTAAACCACTGGTTATGTATTTTACTTTGAAATTTAAGTATGTATATTATACTGTTATCATGTTAATAAAAATAATTTGATTAATGGTATATTTTTTAATTTAGTTAATATTGATAAATATCCACAATGACTTCCAAGTTGACTGAACACATGAATTTAAATTGTGCTGTGAAGCTGCTCCGTTATGATGACCCACCAGCGACTAATAATGGAGCTGTTGTTTCCGTGTTACCAAATAATGCTGATATAAGTAATCAACCTATTGCTGAAATAAAAAGATCTTCAAGGATATCTAGAAAACGTACTAAATCTATAGTAGAAGATAGTAATGAATCAGAAAATGTAAAAAAAAAAAAATGTATGACCAAAAAACAACCCCAATTGAATAAGATTGAATCAGAAAAAACTGATACTCCTCAAAAAGAACAAAAAAGAAGCAAAATTCAAAATTCTTCTTCTAGAAAGTCTCATAAACGCCGTTTAATTGATGATGAACAAAATGCAATGTCTAACAATTCATTTTTCTCAAACCGTTATCTAGGTGATGATGGAACAACTCCTATGAAACGAACCAAATTTAAAATATCTAAATCTATTATTGCTGTTAAAAAAAAACCTGTAATACATGATATAAATAATGATAATCCAACTAATGAAGTTGCAAAAACTAAAACACTCAAATCTATTACATCAAACAAACAAAAATTTGAACTAAATAATGTTAGCAAAAATAACACATCTTATGAACTTGAAGAAAGCAATAATAGTATTTTAACAAAAGTTCATAAAAATAAAACACCCAAATCTAATACTTCTAATAAAAAAAAGTCTGTTGTAAATGTAAACAAAAATGGTACAACTAATGAGCACGAAACAAGTAACAACATTGAAATTCCTAAAAAACGTAGCCGTAATTCATCAAAAAAAGAAAAAAGTCAAAGACCAGATTTTGATAACATGCATTTAAATGAAGATAATTTAAAGCAAACTCAGGATTCAGATAAAATTCGTAAGACACTAGACACTGAAGAAAAATTAAAGTTATCTCAAAACTTTGATAATGATACCATGATGCTTAAAAGTAATGAAAAACCGCCTAAAATTAAAAAAAAATGGAGTGAAGAATGGAGTGGAGATAAATCATTTAATAATGAAGAATTTTCTAATGATTCAACACTTAATGTTAATAGTTGTAAGACAGTTAAAAGAATACCAAAAACTCAAAAATCAAAAAATTCTAATTCTAAAAAAGCTAAAACTAAGACGTTAGAACAATTAAACCCAAAAGATTCACTTTTGACTTATTCCTCAATTACAAGTTGTGATAATACAGATAAGTCATCATTTAAAGTTCCTGTTGATCAAAATAATGGTATATCAATTACATTCAAGATTGGATCTCCGATACCATCTGTTTACAATACACAATATAGTGAAACCTTATCTAATTCCATGATACCTACAACTGGTACAAATCTTCAACCAATATCTGATTCTGATTATTTATCGGTTTCAACAATTAGTCCTGAAAATAATGAAATGAGTTATGGAATGGCTATACTATCTGAAGCCATCAGCCGACAATGCAGAGAATTAGCCAACGAAAATTTGAAGAAAAAGTCTCCAGATCCTGATACTATTGAAACACAGTCTTGTCCCAATAAAGCAAAGAGTACATCACGACCACAAGTACCAAGTGCCATGGTATCACCTCAAAGAGTTATCAAAAGTATGTCAAAAAGAATACCCAAATATCCTCCAGGATTGTGTTTGCCATCTGTTGAAAATGAATCAGAATCACTGTGTGAACATGAAATTAAACTTATTTCTAAACGTTTTGACATTCCAATAAATTCTCTCAGGAGAACAGTTATAGATGAGCCCCTTTCTGTATTCCGAAAAAAGTACTCTAAATCAGTGACACCATCAATGGTTACTATATCACCTATAGTAAAAGACGCTGATTCCAAGTCAGGGTTAAATTTAAATTACATAAGTGGAAATATAGATGTAGAGTACAAATTAGAACCTATCAGAGAGGGTGCGGCTTATGAAAAAACTAACTTAAAAGACTTGATGTTAGAATTATCAAAAACCATGCCATCATGGAGCTTAAGCATTGTCACCAATCCACCAAGGTATGTAATTTCGCAAATGTCAATTGGCAAGTATGGTGTCCCCAATGCAAACAAGTGTATTGTAATCGACAGAATGTTCAGAGCTTCCGTTTATATCAATCAATCCTTAGAACATAAACTTAGCAAACGTTACACGACAGCAACTGAAATTGTTAATCTTATTAAAGAGTTAAATTCAATATGATAAATACCTTATACATATAGATATTTGTATATTTCTCTTATGTAAAATAATAAAATTTTTTATTTTATTTATGATTCCAATGGAGTTCAAATCATCAAATGTATATGTATATAAATTATAAACATTTGTAAAGGAATACACAATCAATATACTAGTTTGATGTATTGTATATACTCGTTGTTCATTATTTAAATTGATAAACTATTTTTAAACAGATGTAAGTATATTTCTTTTTATTCAATTAGAATAGTAAGACAATTATATTTTTTGTTTTCACTTTTCATCTAAAGTGTTGTTCGAGCTGATTTGTTATTTTTATTAGTAATATTTTAATGCTATGATTGTATAATTTTAAATTTTTATGATTAAACGTATTTAATATGCTCATAAATATTATTTTTTTATTTTTAACAAAATTAGATTTTATCATAAATAACCAAACTAATTAATAAATATATTGCCAAGTTTTAGAAATTTACTCTATACTCTTTTTATTGGAGTTTAAGTGTTTAACTTATTGCATTATATTATATGTATTATTTTTCAATTAATTTCAAAGGAAAAATTGGTGGCCACTAGCCAGCATTGTATAATTAATATTTCTTTTCATTAAATTTTTGTTTTTAAATTAATATGATACACTAATTATTATGTTTGTGAGTTTACATTAATATTTTGACCGATTATTTCATAATTGAAGAAGTGTTCTTTTATAATTTATAAATTTATAGGTTATAACTACTTATATAATATGTTAGCGAGAACGCCGGGAACGTGTAGAATATGTGTAAATTATAAAATGCCTAGGAGTTTTGTACATAAAATAATTTTCTAGACGCCCTAAAATTAGTCTAGAGACTAGACAAATCGATCCATCGGACATCTAAAGTCCGTATATTCGTATCAGACAGTTCATCGTCAACACTATTTTAAACAATCAGTTAAAATCCTTGTATAAAAAAGAGGAAAGGTAATTCTGTGTTTTCAGGCAACCCTCTCGTTTACAATCTAATTGTTTTCTTTTCCCACTATAACAGCCTGTCCGGCCGTATTGCGCATCTCCCGCAGGAACGCTGCGGCTCGATGTCCTGCTTCGAGAGTTCAGCGTTATATACCAGAAACTGGCCGTAACCATACTACCGTAGTCATTTCAATTGTAAATGTCATTTAACATTATCCTATATAGCAAATCGTGGCTCGCTCGTTGAAACATATATAATATAGCAGCTATTAAACAAATATAATTATATTATATGTAACAATACACGATACACGGCTGTTAAAGTAGCTACTATTATTGTAATTTTGTAAAGCCAAACAATTTTGATACGTGGTGCCATGGAGTTCAATAGCTTGGCCAATAGTGAGGTGCTGAAGATCGACAACACGCTGACGGCCGTGGGATATGAGAATAACGTTGAGTACGTATAATTATATACATAAATCAGTAATTCAGGGCTCGGAAGTTCTAGCAAATACATATTTTTTTTGGTAAGTCATAGAACATCGAGAGTAAAATACATATTTGTTTCTTACTTTTCTGATGTTATGTAAAAAAATGTTATTTTGCTGATTTTTGCGCATATTTATGGTTTCTGCTGTTTCTAGTGACCAACTTTTATCCATTTAACAATAGCATTTTTTTAAAATTATTTTTATTTTTTCGTTGAACGACTCAAATTTGATTTCCTTTAACAATTTATAAAATGTCAATAGTGTGAACCAAAAACAACGAAAAAGTTTTGTACCGTTAAACTACATTAATCGTTTACTAAAATACTACTGTTTAATAACTAATCATTTTTAACACGGATGAAAACAAAATAATCTTTATGTGTGTATGTGTATTTGCCAATTAATTAAAAAATGAATAACTCGATTTTTCATTAATTTATAAAATCAGAAATAAGCTTAAAATCTGCTCCGCAATATATTATTTTATTAAAAAAAAAAAAAAAAATTAAGATATCATAATATAATCAGATAAGTCATTTTAGAGAGCATACCTGACAAAGATTTCCATTTTCACATTTTTATATATACAGTGTGATCACGATTTATGGTAACACTAAATATCTCAGGTGCATGACCTTGTATTGAACTGGGGTTTTCGGGAAGTGATAGGGAGCACTTAAATACATATTTTCAGACCAGTTTCAAATTTTTAGCTCACTCGGTACGCGCATGCGCAATACAACTTACTTTTTTTTAAATGGCAACCCCAGTTTTTTTCTGCAGATTCAGGTAGAGTATTTTTTTTTAAGCATTTTTTGTATCAACAGTTTTTTTCTATTTTCAAAATTGACCATGTTAGAGTAAGTCAAAATTTAGATTTATGCATAATTCGTATTTAATGTATGGTGTGGGTTAGTTGGTGGAAAGCTAATAGGACCGTTCTTTTATGATGGTACACTTAATGGCAAACGATACCTTAATTTTTTAACCAATGAACTACCAAGACTGTTGGATGATGTTTCATTAGACACACGAGAACGTATGTTTTTCCAGCAAGATGGAGCACCAGCCCACAATGCAATTATTGTTAGACGACATTTAGATCAGATATTTCCGAATCGCTGGATTGGAACTTTTGGCGTCATTCCTTGGCCTGCACGATCCCCAGATTTAACGCCATTGGATTTCTTTTTATGGGGTTATTTGAAGACTGTGGTTTATGCAGATCCACCTGTCAATCTTCAGGACTTAAAAAACAAAATACAAGCAGCATGTAATATTTTAAGTGAAGAACAAATCAAGGCAGCAACTTCGACTGAATTTTTGAGGCGACTTGAATCATGTTTAGAACATAATGGCGAAAATTTTGAACAATTCATAAGATAAATGTATTTAATACATTTTATTTTTTATTTAATATTAATATTAGGTACTATTAAATTGTAATCGTAGATATTATAAGAGTTTACTAAACATATTGTAAAAATAAATTATTATTTGTAAACATATTAAAGTAAATTCAACATTTATTTCTGGCAATTCTATTTTATTATTTCCAGTGGTTATAAATAAAAATTTCATTAAATACGAATTATGCATAAATCTGAATTTTGACTTACTCTAACATGGTCAATTTTGAAAATAGAAAAAAACTGTTGATACAAAAAATGCTTAAAAAAAAATACTCTACCTGAATCTGCAGAAAAAAACTGGGGTTGCCATTTAAAAAAAAGTAAGTTGTATTGCGCATGCGCGTACCGAGTGAGCTAAAAATTTGAAACTGGTCTGAAAATATGTATTTAAGTGCTCCCTATCACCTCCCGAAAACCCCAGTTCAATACAAGGTCATGCACCTGAGATATTTAGTGTTACCATAAATCGTGATCACACTGTATATTATATACTAATACATTGGTAATATATTTAAATATTTATATTTATTGACGACATTTTTTATATTATTATTCTGTACCCATTATAATTAGTAATACTTATGATACTTCTAAGTAAGTACCATTGATTATAGAATCAATGGTAGGTACTAAATTATTATGTAATGTATTAGCCTGATTAGAATTCACATCAAGAGAGCATTAAAATTGTGTAGGTAACTTATGGAGAGTCGTTTATCAGACATCTAGTTAAAATATGGTAGGTATATAAACTAGACAATTCAAAAAATAAGTTTATATTTCGCACAGTAGGTTTTTGACGAATCTAATAATCAAGAAGGTTACTTTAATGGATTTGTTAAATAATAAATCTTCGCATACAATAGGTACACTCGTTACACTATGATGATATGTCAATCTCTATTCCTACGAAATAATTTACTTAAATTAGATAATAGTAAATTACTTAACTCATAATACAGCGGGGGGTATAATGTAAACAATATTATAATTATTTATTGTGTTTTTGTCAAGTTTGAGAAACAAAATGGGATGGATGATCGACGAGATGGGCAAAGTGTCAGCAATAGCACAAAAGTTAAGATCGCCAATTACCAGCGCAGAGATGCTCATCAATTCCGATCACGTTCTCTATATGATGATCGAACACAATACTTCTGCGTAAGACATAATAAAGTTATAATAGAGTATTATAATTAGATTATGATTTAGATTAATATAAATACTAAAATAAATGATAAAACATATGGGTAGATTTATGATATATAATCATGTACCATTTACAATTTATATGTGACAATATTATAATATTTAAAATAAAAATTATAATGTTATAAAAGTAATTGGATGAGTAGGTGGGGTGGATTTAAGGCACTGCAAACTATGCAGCCGCATAGGACGGCAAATTTTTTGAGGGCGGCTTTTTATACGCATTAAAATTGTATTTAATATTTATCTTGTTCTTATACAAGAAATTTCTTGAAATTTTCATTTTCATTTTTCAAAGTGAATAATTAACATTAAAACTACTTTTATAACCAAATAATTATTTAATAAATTTATTATTTTTTTCTTGTATAATAAAAATCAAGAAAAAAATGTTGTATTTGAATCAAAACGTTTTTTGTTGAACTTTAGTTAAATGAAAAAATAATTTCACAATACATAAAAAATGTTATTATGTAAAGAAATTTTGTTGTAAAGACGTGATTTTTTTTTTAAATAAGGGCAGAAAATTTTTTTTTGACAAGTGGCAGCAAATTGTTAAATCCGCCCCTACAGTGAATAGGTACAAGTTAGTGTTGGTCTACAGTAACTGCTACGCCTGATTTTGTAGGGGTGCAGGTAATCTATAACCATATGAACGTTTATGATCATGGTTTTGATTTATATGATATTTACATATTATATTTATTGGACGTCCATTTAACTATTTTAACTATACATTTCTCCTATGTATGTCCTCTCTCCTCTACTCTAAAATTGTCGAATAGAGTACTCGTTGGTCTTTATGTAGATACTTTAAGCTCGTAGCCCGTAGATATACATATATTTCAATAATTCAATCAATTTTATAAAAATAGAAAATAAATTTAAAAAAAGAACTAATAGTGCATATTGTAGGGATCAATAATTTTTATAGGTTGATACCTATTATTATTGTTCTATTGCCATTTTTTACATTAAGTTTATATTTGCAGACATCTTTATTTTTATCAGTATATTTTATGTACCTATATCATAAAACAATAAATGTTCTGTTGCATTTTATTATAACATATAACAATTGTATTTGTTATCAAGGAATTTTGTCGTTGTTGGAATTTTAAAGATGGGATGGAAGAAATTATGCCTTTACAACAAAGCTGTAGGATTTTGTAAAGAAACCATGGTTTACTGTTTGATGGATTTCTATATCCATGAATCCAGACAGCATAAAGGTTATGGAAAGTACCTGATCGATTATATGTTGCAGGTAATTATAATGACATTGACGTATTTTTGTAAATAATTTAGTGTTAATTATTTTTAGTATCTATTTATTAACACTCCACGACTAGCCGCCAGTCATAGTCGCTCGCTATTACAATTGTTTGTATAAACTATTATTACCTATATAATAATATAATATGATTAATTTTCAATTACCTATTAAGTTAAAAACAAAAATTAATTATAAATGTATGTTTGTATTATTAATTAAGGTTAATATAGTTTTGATATTTATTTAATAATAGTAAAGGTAGGTATATACTGTTATTAAATAAAAATGAAAAAAAAATGTATTTATAATAAAAAAAAATAAATAAATATAGAAATAGAATCCAGAACTAGGAATTATCTTTTTTAATAGTTAAAAATACATCTTTTCTGTTGAGTTGTCTTATCCACCACGTGAATTCTGCCAAGTACGATTACGAAACATTATTTTGTTGCGGTTAGTGCTGGTTACACGGCGCTTTCTATTGTCTTGGTTAGTTGACTCCACAATACGTCTATAACATTTTGAATGTGATATTTGTCCGGATCAATAAAATTATTAGTGTTGTTAACTGTATTGTGTAATGTTGGAATACAGCGTTTTAGAAAATGTTGTTGGCTATCCAATAATCTGATACAATTATAGATCTAACAGAGCAATAAATTTAGTACAGTGGTAGTGAGGTGACCACTGACCAATAACAATAAAATTACCATATTTTTATAAAATTGTTTTTATTCATAAAAACTATAATTCTTGTTACTTACATATTTATTTTTAAAGGATATGCATTTATGTGCCAAAAATTTGGCTATTGAAAAACCAACTAAAAACCTATTGCAGTTTATGTGGAAACATTTTCAATTATCTAAAATAGTAAACCAGGGAAATTATTTCATAATCTATGAGGATTTTTTTGATGATGCATGTAAGAATTCAACTTATATATACCTACTATAATATATATTTTATTTACAAATATTTTGAATTTACCAAATGGAAAAAAAGTAATAATGAAATAATATATTTTGTTCATAGTTAACGAAAGGAGTTTTAACAATAGTGCAAATGGGTAAAATACATATTTTAAAATAAAATATTTGTGTTTCTTTTAAATGATTTAAATTACTTTTTTGATTTTGTATAGAGCCTCAACATCACTATGTACATGCCAATCAATGCAAGGACAAAATGAATTACAAACACATTGTGAAACAGTGGGCGCAGTAAGTACTAAATGATTTAACTATTTATTAAAAATTGTTTAAATAATTATTATTTTATAGACTGTACAAGAAAATACTGAATGTTCGCAATTAAATTACAGCCCAGGGATCAATTTGTTAGTATATTCAGATGCATACATTTTATAAATATATTTTTTTATTCATTTGATTTTTTTTTTTTAATTATATTAGTGTTGAAAACCAGTTTAAAGAAGTAAATGCATTTCAAAACGCACAACAGGATAGAAATCCTGTGAAACAAGATCAGACATTTTACCAGAAGTATTCAATACAGAGCATGCTAAATGATAATTCAATGTAATAATATTTTTTAGTTATATATTTTTGCTCTAATATTTTTTTCCTCAATACTACAAAATACTAAAATTTAATATTGTACAATAATTTCCATCTTATGTTAAAGTTTATAAATAATAGGACTAATAAGTATTACATATAAATCATAAAGTACTAATTATTCAAACGGAAAATTATTTATTTAAAGTATTTCTTATATCCTGTATTTCTGTTTATAATAAAATTATTAAACATTAAAATACTTATGATTAAGATACTTATGTATTGTTATTGTGTGCTGAATTTCATTTTAATTAATTTGTTTACTTTATTATATTATATTTATGATATTATAATAATTATTGAATTATTTAGCGTTTTAACTATAGTTATAGATTAAATGTTAAATATAACATAATTTATACTTATTTACAATAACTATACAACTATAGTTTTGTAATATCTATCAATATTCAACAAAATTCAAAAACCTTTAATTTATTAAATTTATAATAGTTAATATATTGAATAAATATAATAAATATTTTAATTTTTAGTCTCGTTTTGTGTGTTATTAAGCTTATATTCACATAAAATAGGTAAATAAAATAATAATGTATTAGGATGCCATAAAATATGTTAAGTGTTTAATTGTATGATAAATGATTAGATAGTGACTCACCCATTTATTGAGTTTTGTTTATTAATTATATGAATTACACATTATACTAATTTTACCTAAACAATATATAATAAATCATACACTCAACTACCAGATATCCAGATTCAGGTGATTCCCAAAAGTTGGTAAGTATAAATAATATTAATATTCATACTTGTCACTTTGCCTATATATATATATGTGATATATTCAAAATTATCAAAGAGAAAAATCAATCTACATGGAATAAAGATAAAAAAAAATACAAATATTATATAGATACGTGGTGTGCTAACGTTTGCTTACTGGCCAGATTTTCACTAGCTGATGTACAAAATTTAGAACACTAATATTATTGATCAATTTCTATATTGAAGTCCTGTCTTCAGTATAAAATGCTTTAATAATATCTTCAGTTTTTAATTGGTTTGCTGTATCTTTTAGAACATCTAATGGTGATTAGTTTGATAATCATTCTTGTGTCATGCAAGTCTGTAGCCATTACCTATTTTATTTGTTGCGTACACAAATCTAAGTAGATACATAACCAAATTATTTAAGCACCCCTACTCCTTAGTATCCATATTATCATACCTAAGTAGTACTTCTAAATGGATATTTTGGCAAAGCACAAATAAATTAAATTATCAAACATACTATTATTTTTATTTTTTATCTAATAATTTTAAAATGTAATGATTGACAATTATTACAATTATTTTTGAGGAGCTGTAGCAGACCGTGACTGGAATGTTATAAAGCCACTTCGTTTAGCATAGGACAGTCATCCAATACAGCCAATATGTTCTGAGCGGCCATCACAGCCATCTCTTCTTCCACTTCAATAGTAGAGGTGCCAATGTGTGGCAGGAGCACTACAAATAATGTGAAAATAGTTATTATGTATACTGAAACCTCTATTAATAGACATGCGTATTTACTAACAAATTGCAGAGGCAAATTTAAGTATTAAATAAAAGCTGATAATGATAAAGATGACATAGGTACGTATACAATTTTAATCCGATACTTACAGAGAATAATAGGATATATAACAATAGTGTGTTTTAACAACACACTACTTATTATTACAATTTACAACTTATTTAAAAACGAAATATTCATAACTATTATGATAGGAATACGTACAAACGTTGTCCAAACTCATCAGTGGATGATCCAATGGCAGTGGTTCTGGTGTCATCACATCCAGTCCAGCACCTCGGATTCTTTTCTCCCTGAGCGCTTCAACCAGAGCGTCTTGATCGACCAACTCTATGAAATTCAAAAACAAGTAAAACATACATCATGGACATGGGTATAAATAATTATTTTATTTTATACATTGACTGATATCAGTTGATAACTGGTGTATTCAATATGGTCATTGGCGAATAATTTTAAGTTCTCGATTATAATTAAATAATATATATATATTAATCGTTTATATTTTTACTCTATATATATTGAAAATTAAAATAAACTGTAGACTTCTATAATTATGATTTGCCATTTAAATAATTAAAAAAGTTCTTCTCTCCGCAATCAGTGGCGTCATTTCAGGTTTTGAGAGGGGGGCAAAAGTTTTGACCGGCCCATAGTTAAAATAAACCCTTTCGCTAATAATTACATTTTAATCTCAATACAAACAACTTTCTTACATAATTTTATACATACTAGTTAGTAACTAGTAGTTGGTTGTAATGATTATTTTAAATTTTATTTTTAAAAACAATAAGTTGTCAACAAGTCCGGACTGGCCGAACACAAGCCGATCCCCCATTTTAAATTAATCAGATATTTGGGTTTTATGTTTTTTAATATTATATACTTACCTATTACTTATTAGTTATTAGACAATATTTTAATTTATAATTTCATAATAATATAAATAAATATATATTTTATACGAGCAACGACCCACCGAGAAACCCAGTATCTTGATCGTCCAGTACACCACTATATGCCCAGTAGTGTTCTTAGAATGGCTCTAGTATAATCATACAGATGTCAGATCAGATACCTTATTATTATTTACGTATTAGCAGTTAGCATGAGCCACGAATCATGGTTATATTTTATTTAGTTATGACATGAATGTTATGAATCATGTTTGCGGGCTTGCGGCCAAAAACTAATACCATATACCCGGCCCGTCATCGGCCCGCTAAAACAAGGGAGGGAGGGGGAAATGTCCGCCTTACCATCCCCCAAATGATGCCACTGCCCACAATAATCTAAAATATAGCCCACCAAATCCGTTATAGATTAAACAGAATACAATTACATTATTTTTAAAAATAAATATTACATAGGTACAACTACAATTAATTCTTTTAACTTAACGATGTTATTTTTAAACAATAATTACTTTAGGAAAATTAAAAATCTGGATCACAGTTCCTATACTTATGGTAAGTTTCAAGTTATTATTATATCAAAAATTATTTAAAAAAATATTAATCTACATAGAATTTAAGATATAAAATATAAATGAGGTATATAGGTATACTAATGTCCGCGACCGATGTTCACCAGTATTGCATTGGACTTCATGGTGGCGATCCGTTCTCTGTTCACGATGAATTTCGTTTCATCATTTAAAGCCGCGGCGACCACGACAAAATCACTACGTTCCATCAACTCATCCACTGTGACCAATTTTCCACTAAGAGCTTTGACTACGGAAAAGACACTTCATAACTAACCACAGTTTTAAATTTAATGCATTTGCTATAGTATTTGTATATATTTTTTTTCACCACCAATAATAAATTATTACTACACGCACATAAAACATCCGTAAACGGTAGATGTAAATACTTACCTTCCGGTTTTTCACTTCTACTGATGTACAAGAGTTGGGAAATTTTGAAATTGGCCAATTTCTCTGCGATTGAAATGCCGATTCTACCGCAACCTAAAATGCCAACAACCGATCCTTTTATGTTTCTACCACACATCTATCCGGGAGTCTAATTCTGCCATCCACCACTATATGCATATAAATATATTATATACATTTAATAAAAAGAAAAATACCAATAGTTTTTAACATATCTATGATCTAATTGAAATACCAAATTTCTCTTACCACGTTTTAAATTTGATTTATTATCTAGCATAACGCTATTAAAAAATTGATATTAATTTCAGTATGTAGGACGTAGGTACATAAAAAATGCATAGTTATTGTTTTTAAAAAAATAGCCAATATTCATGTTACTTTTGTCGTTTATAAATATATGTATAATAGTGTTTAGTGTGCAGCTTATTCTTATTGAACAATAATATTTGTTTTTAAAAATTAAAATATATTAAATTGTAAAACTATGATTTGTGTTTTATACTAACGCCTACAGTCTACACGAAAAGCTAAAGAAACATAATTTTCAAAGAAATTTTTTAATAAATATATGAGCATAATAATGTACATCGAATACATGCGGATTAGCAATCAAACGTCAAAATCTAGACTCATAAGTATACTTCTCGAAATAATATACGCAATATACTATACTATACCACTAGCATAAGTCTTCATTATAATTATTTATAACACGATTCGGTCACTTACGTTTTCAATTCACGGTTTGCTTCAAAAAATCTTCTGCTACTGGCTATAATGAGACCTACAGCAATTTCTGCAACCGATTCCGTCAGAATACCCGACGTATTTCCTAAACGTACACCGTATTTTTTCATCGAAGCCAAATCAACGTGATCATATCCCGCCGACATGGTACTGACCACCTTAAGACTGGGCCCTATAAATATATATGATAATTTATTTTATGTTATGAAGCATAAATGACTACAATGTTTCAGTGGCGGCTAGTGCCTAGGTATACAACTGTACAAGTGTGCACACCACATAAATTAATACAGATAAAATATTAAAAATGGATTTTCAATTTTTTACACAATTTAAGTTTAACTATAATAACTTATTGTATAATATTGTATTAATTAAAAAAAAATATGTTCCCGAAAATATTACTCCTGCAATTTATTGAAGTTATTTAATAAATATACACATCATTTGGTAAGCAGTTCAGTCAGACCACCGTTTGTGTAAATTTGTTAGGTCATCGAGTAGGGGGTTGACGAAAATTAATGGGACCTGCACACCACGGTAGCCACAGCTTTCCATATCGGTTATTATTTTATGGGGAAAAGACTTGAAATGTTTAATTTTTTTTTTTTTGTTAATTAATACAATTTATAATTGGTTACAATTTACATATATTATTAGGTATTATATTCGTAAGTATAAAAATTAATTTCGTTTTAATTTTCATAAATAATAAATGTTAATCAATTATGCACTAAAATACAATTTTAATGAATATTATATAAGTCACCCACCCATGTCTTATTTTAAAAATAAAAAAAATGTTGATCTTATTACAATTGTTTGTAATGTATAATTAAATACCTATAGAAAAATTAATAGTATATCATCAACTAATACTAACCTGCTGCTTTTAGGAGCTGTTCATTTATCATAGGTAATCTCGGGAGTACAGAAAATTGAAAACTTGCCCGGTAAATGATTAATAACATCTTGTGTGGTTAAAAATCCATTTTTTTTACTAGGTATGCAAAATTCCAAGTTACACCTGCAATTAATTTATATTTTAACGAAGGTTACAAATATCTGTTTTCATCTGGTTTTTATGCAATTTCATGTTTAATATACAAACTATACAAATATATAATGTCGAGATAGGCCACAAAAATTATATTAATTAAGAATGAAAATTTTAAAATTACTTTTTCTAAAAACTTCAAAAATAAGTCATGTAATAGTTCTGATAGTATTAAGATTATAGTATAGTACAAAATTCATTATTTTCTCGATTAAATCATGTCAAAAGAACTATTAATTATCTATATTTAATTACATCAAAACCCACAAGTTATTTCCAATTATATTCGATATAAACCATAAAATAAAAAATTTACTTTTTGTAATTTGAAGCAAAGCGTTATTCTATATTTTTCTTGTTCGTTATGTTAAAATCAAATTTTAAGTAATACATTTCTACAGGACCTAAAATACATCTAATTTCAGGGGACACACTTATTAATTTAACTGTTGACTTTGGACTTTGACAGATTTCTATAGCAAAAAAAAGAAACCTGTGTAGGTTGTAACTTCCAAAATCCCCCTTCTTTTAGATAATACTTATTACCTTACACATTAATAATATCATAATAATCTGTTGTTCAAAAATGCTAAAATACCCACATAGTATATTTATAGACAAAACTCTACGTTTGAAACAAGAATTTTGTGGAACAAAAGTCCATTGGAACTAGGAACATGTGCTTTGTGGAACAATGTGTAATGACCCGCCAAAGTGTATGATATCAGATATAAATGCCTATCACTCGATATTTGTATAAAATTGATAATGATTCTCAATTTATTTCGAAATAAAGTTATAATAAAATTGTGTTGAAATTCTTAAATTGTTGTTATTACTTATTTCCGTAATCAAAACTAAAAACGTATTATAAAACTTGAGACACACATTTGTCATTCAAAGGACACGCTTTGATTTTCAGGGGACACAGTATTTTAGGCCCTGCATTTCTACAAAAATTTACATTTTCCATAAACTAAAAAAATAATTTTTTCATTCAAAAGACTAATTTTTAAAATATTTTACAAGTAAAAATTATTATTGAGTTTTGTATTTAGTATAAGACGTGTTTAACCATAGTATACATATATTATGATTAAGTAATTAGCGTAATAAAAAGATTAAATTGCAAAAATTAAAATAAATAAATAGGAAATCTAAGCAGTACCTTGAATGTAATAAATCGATAGCTTTTTTAGGAAAATTATGACATAACAGCACTTTTGGTTTTGATGACATCTCTGCGTACTAAGAACGTGTTTTTATACTTCCAATGATTAAATAGATACTGTAAAATAATACACGGAACAAAAATAATAAGCATTAGCCATTAGAAATAGACAACTCGGAATAAAATATTATATTTAAAATAATATGAATATATGAATACAAAATTATAATACTTGATTACTTCAAGACTCTATTAAAAGTTATATTTGTTTAGACTTTATAGAATATAGTCAACATATAAAACAATAACAGTATAATATTTATACTATATATGACTATTACCTATGCATAGGTAGGTATATTAAGTTTTAAATTTTAGGCACGGCAAGCAATGTAGGTAATAGGTACCTGTATGAGCTACATATACGATAAAGTTTATTTTTCTACAAGTTAAAAATGGACTTAACCAATTGCATGAATAGGGGTTGACTTTGTGGGATATATTCGCTCCCCTGCACAGTTTAAAAATTACAACTACAGCTTCCTCCCCCCACCACAACCATAACAAAAATCTAGGTTATTTGGCCTAATACGGAGTTTAGTATAAGTGTTTTATTAGTTGATGAATTGATATTTTGAAAAGGCTATCCCTAAAACTTGGAGAAACTCCCTAAGTGTAATAAGATAATAGTAAACATTAATATTATAGACAAATAAGTAGGTATAATTAGTAATTACTATAATTAGGTATATATTAACACATATAATACATATTTTATATAATATAGGTACTAGAAAAATGTTTTTACAAATATTAATAGACAATAATTTAATCATGTATCAATAAACGAATGCAACGAAATATCGGTCACGCAAACATTGGACATTGGACTAGACAGACCAGAACTTTACTACTCCGGATACTCACCGACTTCCGTAAAAAGCGATTTTATTTTCATTTTTTGCTCTCATGTTCGCTTATCACAATTTTAACATATTAATCAGTTTAACCAAAAGCCGCATACTATAATTACAATATTAATATTATGTTATAATTATTTATAATTGATTATATCTTAATTTATAAATAAGCTCTATGCCTTAAAAATATAATAAAAATAATAATATTATCTACAGGAATTATGTAAGTATTTAGTAAAAAAAACAACTAAGCTTCTAAAATTAATGTTAATTTTTTTTCTTTCGGACGTAAGCTTATAAGCACGGACTTGCATATCTTAGAATTAATATTCATTATAGGTAACTTACTAACGTTTAAAACATTTTTTAATTTTAACATTACTTATCAGGCAATTTTGTAAATTAATCTTCTTTTGAAAATGTTAATACTTTCCAAGTCAACGATAAACCATAAGAAACTACAATTGACTATTAGGAGGTAGATATTTAATCAAATCAATGAACTAAATTTTAAATTGAAAAATAGTTAATAGATGAACAGTGAGTTTCTAATTTAGCTATGAGTTATTAGTGTTATTACTTACCTTCGTTTAATCTTGTACCAGTTGCTGTTCGTGTCTACTGTCTAGGCTATTACAGTGTTGGTAAATGTGATTGGATAAATATTATAGGTATATATTTGAAAAAACGAAAAACGTCCACAGTCTTCTTTAAATGGTTTCAATTTTTAAACGCGTCAATAACAATACGCTATTTGCAGAGATATAATATAAATTAAATTATTATTACTTTAATCTCTGTTATAAATGAAATTATTATCATTTAAATCCCTGTTATAAATGATATTCATGTAGGTACTATCGAGTTTTGACAAAAATTATTATGCATAATAAAACGTATAAAACTATTAAGTACAAAAGAACCTATTTCCCTTCTATCATTTCCAATCGTATTATTATCATAATATCACGTGATCAGTTTGAGTATTATCATTATGAATTATATATATATTCTAAAATAGCGAGTAGTAAAATTTAAGTACAACCAAGGGCATCTGCAAGTGTAGGCCGGGGAAGTCAGACTCCCGGCTATTTCAGTTAATATTAAATATTAATTGTTTTATTACCTACTTGCACAGCTTAAATATTATTAATTATTATAGTCTTATAATTTTGACTTTGCCCCCCTCTTCCGTTTATATTTCTGCGGCGCACTTGAGTGCAACTGCACGTGATTCTTGACTCTTGCGAATTAGTAAGCAAATGAGCCTAGATTATTTGGGGAAGATGTCCAAATAGCTCATAGATCATTGATTTCATGATAATTTTAATACTAGTGGTTAATTAAATAATATATATTTAAAATATTTAAGAAAATATAAAATTATACTCAACAATTTTAAATCAATACATTTAATAATAATTAAATTTGTATACCTTGTAACATTTAAAATATAGATTATTTATATGCAATTTTAATTAGACTATAACCATTAAGCTAACACTTCATATGGCATTGGGGTATTTTCCAAAACAGCAATTATATTTTTGGCAGTGGCAATAGCCATTTCTGTCCGTGTTTCAATGGCAGCACTCCCAATGTGAGGCAACAACACTTTGAATTAAAAAATATTATAACATATTAATTTGATACTGTTTATAAACATTCATGGAGCTGTGTCATATTTGGTTGTACATACCGACATTTTTCATCTTAATCAGAGGGTTATTAAGTGGTAATGGTTCTGGAGTCATAACGTCTAAGCCAGCACCTCCAATTCTATTTTCTTGTAATGCTTTAATGAGTGCGTCTTGGTCAATAAGTGCTAAAAACTCATATATTGATATTAGATTGTTTTAAAGTAATAAAATGTTAGTATTAAGTTTTAAATATGCCTTACCTCCACGACCAATATTTACTAAAACAGCATGTGGCTTCATTTTGGCAATGCGTTCTTTGTTAATGATAAACTTTGTGTCCTCGTTCAGTGCGACGGAAAGAATTATGAAGTCACTTTGTTCTACAAGCTCATCAATTGTAACCAATTTTCCACCAAGAGCTTTAGCTAATTTATCATGAATTCAAAGTTTTCATTATTCTTATACAATATACAGTTACTAAATCACATTTTACCAGCAGGTTTTTCAGTTCTACTGGTATACAGTAATTGAGAAATTTCAAATGTGTTCAACTTTTTTGCAATTGATGTTCCAATGTTGCCACATCCAACAATACCAACAACAGAGTTTCTAATACCTCTACCGCACATCCAAACAGGTGTTACATCTTTCCATTCACCTCTAAAAACAAATTACTTGATAGTTGATACTTATACAATTATACTCATATACAATAATTTAATGTACGTTTTCAATGCATGATTAGCTTCAAAAAATCGTCTTGTTGTTGATATCAACAATCCAACTGTTGTTTCTGCTACTGCTTCGGTTAAAATATATGGTGTATATCCTAACCGTATACCATATTTTTTCATTGCAGTTAAGTCAACATGATCATATCCCACAGACATGGTACCAACAACCTTTAGACTTGGGCCTATAAAATAATAAAATGTTAAATGCATCAATGATTATTTACACAGTATTCTTATTAGTTATTACAATTTTATCTAGTTATAATGAATATTTTAACCTGCAGTTTTAATTACTTCTTCGTCAATTTTGTTTGATGGGCAACAAAATATTGCAAATTTTCCAGGTATTTTTTGCATGATTTCTGCTTGAGTGGATTGCATGGAATCGCATATTTCGACATCGAATCTAAAATATGTAAATAGTAATTATATGAGAAAAATTGTTAAGTGTACCTAAACTTTGAGCTAAGGGTTCTGACCTTTTACGAAGTAAATCAATTGCAAATTCTGGAACGAGTTTCATTGAAACAAGTACTTTAGGTCTTGCCATAGTAATAACTTAGATTTTGAGTAATTTCAATACACTAAAAAATAAATGTCATCATTTAATTAAGAGTCTAATAATTTCAACACATTAGTATTGTTATAATCTACAAATTGTGAAAATTGTATTTAAAAGTAATCATATTATATATAAGTATATGGCTATATGCAATATGCATTACTTCTACTTATGTTTTCTATTATAATTATAAATTAAAAACGAATACCTGAAGCAAACGTTTAAAGAAGTCCAATAGATGGATTGGGTATAACAAAACAAAAGCTACTAAACTAGTTGTTAATTGTTAACTAACCGTACTAAAGGTATGTTGAACTGCGTAGTCACTGTAGAGAAAAATTTGTGAGTAGTGCTTGTGACTGAACAGTTTATAAAATTATGTATAAATTATAGAAGACAAGTAAATAGATAACATACTGGTTTATAAAGTCTAACAAGCAACTGATAACAGTGATAAAACTATATAAAATATAAATAGTAATTACTAATTAGATATTAATATTTTATCAATATTATATAATTATATATATAACTTAATAAAAAGTATGATTTATGAAAATTTAGTTATCTCGTTTTATCACTTTATGATAACATATGTGATGTACAAATCATGAACTAAGAAGTAAAATATTAGTTTGTGGTACAGACTTGAGACTACAGATATATTTTTGGTTTTAATATTATTAATATATTTGGGATTTGGATTTAAGAATGCTAAAATTGATTTATTTAGTTGCTCAATAATTCAAAATTTACAGAGATTTAATTTTTATGAAACAACGGTCTTACTATTTGTAGAAGCCGATATTCTTTTTTCCAATACTATATAAGCATGAATCATAATGTATTGTGTAGATTTTATATTTCTTAATCATTATTCTATTGGGTTTTGATACGTTTAACAGAAAAAATTGAAGAAATTTAAGATCCGAGTTCTCATACATTCCCTTCCAATTTGAGCACTGCCCGTATAAGAAATCAATAAATGTCTATTAGAGTATAATCTTTAATGACATTTTGAGTTAAATGTTAAAAAAAAGTGCACACTTTGTAGTATAATTATGAATACATTACTTGTGAACTCAATGCATAATGCTTATATACTTCACTTTACTCATAGTAGTATTTGTTAAAAATTAATTAAGAAGTACTAGAAATTTATTGCTATTAACCATATCAAAAAATAATAATAAATGAGAACTTTTAGAACTAACTTTAAAGAATTTAAAACAAAACATAAAGCTATAATTTTAGGCAATGCAATTAATACCAAATTTGTGGTGGACTGTAGTCTTACATTTTATTTAATAAATAATTGACAATTAAAAGTTGTAAGACAATTCGAACTATTCTATTAAGAATGTTTATTTAAACAATTACAAATTTAATGAAATGCATAAATTAGTAATCTAAACAAAGGACCAACAATTTAATCTCAATTTTTCAGTATTTTAAAAGCAGCTATCATAAGCACACTATTTTAGCAATAGTATAAGATTAAACCAGCCTATTTTAAAATGGGTCAAAAATTCATAATAATTACTTTGGCATTCAGAAAATATAAAATTAAGGTATTTAATCATTTAGGTAAGGGGAGAGAAAAACTCTATAAAACATTTAATTGATGGACAGAAGAAATGTATTTACATATTAATTTAACTATAATGTACAATGTATGTAGAAGTATATTATTTATGGAAATATATTTTACCAAGATACTAATTCAATATCTGGAGGCAATCATAAAAAATTAGTAAGTGACATAATGATGCCCCTCTATGGCCATGCTTGCACACAATATAGAGAAAATAAAATTCTATGATAAAAAAATTCAAAACTTAATTAAATTATTAATCAGGTATTACTTACAATGCATTTGAAGAATTTATTACTATCTATTTTTGTTCATAGTTTACAATACTGGTAATTTTCATTTAAAATCAGTTATTCAATAAAATTAAATATTCCAAGTTATGGAATGACTTATCTCCATTATAAAGAAAAGGAATATCATATTTTATTATTTTAGAGGAAATATAATTGTAGGTTAAAATTAGTTATAATATGAAATAAAACAAAATAGTCTGTTTGGAAAAACAACATGTATGTATATTTTTGGGATTTGCATTGATAAACAATACAATTAATATTAGTTTTTCTTTCCTGCTAAAATGATTCCGTCATACTAAAAAAAAAAAAAAAAATATTATTAGTTTAACTTTAGTTGTAAAATAAATAACAATAAACTAGACAATTACTTTAGTTTGGAACCATTTCATTGCGTCTTCTTTGTTAAGTCTATGTTGGTAACCAACTTTGCCTTGCTTCCTTCTTCTGTGAGCTACGTTGAAACCTAATAATATAAATTAATATAAGATTTAAATATAACAGATTAACAGAAATATATAAACTAATTTATTTACCTAGCACATTAACCTTTTAAACTTATAATATATTCATTTAAATTTTAAGTTAATTTAATTGTTTTCTGCATAACAAAGTAGACATGAAGAAAATATATTTAACTTTAGTCAAAGAATCAGATTAAATATAAGTATACCTACTGTAAAATTTGTTTGTTAAATACTTAAAAAGAATAACACACAATTATTGTATAGTTTTATAACAAGCCTATAAAGAGATGATATTATTTGAACAAATTTTTTTTTGTAATCCTTAACTTATTTTAGCAATATTATCTTATTACAAGACATACTGAAAATAATAAAATAAGTTAAATTTGGTTTAATTATTGTAGATGTTTACATATTCCATTAGAACTAATATTGATACAATTGTAAGTAGTATTAGAAGAAATCAGAAGGATATGATTAAAGATAAAAAAATATTTCATTAAATAAGAATTATAGGATAATTATCAATTTTAAAGCCAGTATAATTTATAGATGTCAATATTTTAATGCAACGAGTGCAAATAATATATTATTGTAGAAATTGATAAAAATGTTTTAAAATTTTTCCAAATAATTCAAGACTTCTTATAAGCAATATAAAAAAATAATTGAAAATTAATTAAAAAATGTGTAGTAATGAGTGAAAGGATATAATTATTAAACGCAAATCTTCAAGAAATAAAATGAAATGTGGTATCAACATTATACCTAAGCCTAATTATTATTTTAAAGATAACAACATAAAATATTTAGTAAACATTAATATTATCTTTTGAAATTATAATTCTTAAATTTAAGTGAAGAAAAAAAACAGAGATCACATAAATAAAATACTTGTAATTTGTTTTATTTAAGTAAAATAAACTAACCTTGACGTCCCAAGACAACAAAGAAATCTAAACCATAGATACCAATACTAGGATCGTATTTGATACCCAAATCAATGTGTTCTTGAATACCAAAACCGAAGTTACCAGTATCTGAGAAGTTCTCTCGTCTCAATTCGTATTCACGAACCTAAACATAAAATTAATTTAACTAATCAACTGATAAAAAAGAAAAAAAAACATTAAAAACTTACCTTTAATCCACGTTCTAAGATTTCTTCAGCCTTAGCACCGCGAACTGTGCAGTGCACTGCAATTTTTTCATTTCTTCTGATACTAAAAGATCTGACAGTATAACGAGCCTTGGAGAACACTGGTTGTTGGCCAGTCAATTGTTCCAATACCTAAAAGAAAGTAACATATATAGTCGTCTGGTATAATAGATAAATTGAGAATAATGATAATGCACCTTAGCGGCACGAGTAAGCTTGTCACCAGATTCGCCGACACAAATGTTCAAACATAATTTGCGAATCCTCAATTCACGCATACGATTTTTGGTCTTCTCCGAAGACTTGTTGCCTCCCTTCTGTAGCATAAAACACAATTATTATATGTAGGGGTTGAGATAAAACAATAGTTTTTCGCTAGATTTGGAAGTTATGTATTCTTAATGAGTATTACGCCTCAGTAATGCGTGAGGGTATATTGCAATATAAGAATGTAGATGATGTGGCACCGGACTTTTAGCCTCGGAACCAATTTAAGGCCGTCGAGTCATAGCATTCAATTGAAAACTAATCCGGTGCGATAGTAACAAATTGAAAGGTCTATCGGTATACATTTGTTAAAAGGAGTTCAGGATACCGAAAATGATCGGTCGTCAGAACACGGACGGCTTGGAGTTTGGACGATTGGATCGGATAAAAAATATTCACTCACTTTTAAGTCGACGAGGACCATGATGGATTCCGCTGTGCTGAAGTTGTTTATAAGATAGTCACGACGCGAAAGAACGGAACGTTACCGAACAATCCGCTCTCATGAAGTGGAGGTGTAGTGGTAGTATTTTGGTTTTGGTCAATGTAACCTCAAAAATATCATGGAACATAAACTACGGTCGCGAAAACATTCGCTGTTATCATCATTTACGCGGTAATTTCAAAAGTTTTTCAATTTTCTATCATAATTTCTTCCTTGATTAGGCGATCGTAGCCAAGGTTAATATAAATATATTAATTTTATTAACCTTAGATCGTAGTAACTAGTGTTTCTTTTTTTCGAGTTTTACCGTCAATTTAATAGTTGTATAATATACAATAGCCATACTTAGTCTACGGATAATTGGGAAATAAGCCGGCTTGTATTCAAACATGGAGTTAGTTGCTCGCCTTGATTTGTTTTTTTAAATCTAACGTAACACTATTAACTATAAGATTTTACATCTATCCTTATGATACATAAGGTTACTTTTAATACTAAATGTATCATATTATGTACGCATGAAAGTAGTGATACTTATTAAGTTAAACTAGGTACATAATATTAGATATATATTACAATTGGTACCTATAACTATTACAGTTTTTATTTGAAGTAATTAAGATTTTGCCTGGTTGTCCCATATTGTTCAACTTAACTCAAATTTAATGTTTATCAGAAATAGAAATTTCATTAGCTAAAAATCATGCAAAAGTTGTTGTTTTTTTTGTCATTTCTTCACTTCCAAAGACAAATACTAAACTACAAACCCATACCATTATTAATTTTTTTTAACTCTTTCCATTTGTGTATTAGTTAATAATTGTCCAGCTTTGTAAACATTATAAGTCTCATTTATATAAGTTGTAATAATTATTGTTTCAAAATATAATCTGAGTAAGCTATGTCTTTATAGAAAGTATATATTTTGTAATGTTCTTATGCTTATTTTATGTGGTATAATAATCATGTACTGTGAATAGTTCTCAGTAATGGTTATATGAATAGACATTGAGAAATTATTTGTTAGGCACTAGTATTTTATCTTTTTGATTCTTTGTTTACTTTGAAGTTTTTGTGTTACATATTTAAGTAATCTATTTAATAAATTATTAGCATTTTTAATTAATTTATTGAAAATCCAAGACTTTCAACAAATTGTTAAAAATCTATTTTTTATGTGTACAATATATATATTATATTCCAGTGGATTTAAGTGTGTAATCAGATTAACAGGACATAAGTTCATTTGACTTATTTCGGAAATCCATTTGTTACTTGGGTATATTTTATTATAATACATCTTTTTTATGTTTTTTCTTTGTTTTTAATATAATTATATTTCTTATAACTAGTTACAGTTTTGATTTAATTTTATGTTCTTGGAATGTTTTAAAATTAATACTGTGTAAACTATAACCAACAATCTATGAATATTGTATAAAAATCCTGAACTTGTTTTTTAAAATTGTAATTTATTAATACAATTTTATGGAATAACTAATTTAACTAATTAACTTTAGAAAGTTTATATAAACTATTTGAACTTTTAAAATATTTTAAGCAGTAAATTCTATAAACTCATTTAATCCAGAGTAAGATATGCTGCCTCTACCATTATCAATGTCGCTGATGTCAGTTTCAAATGGTTTTATTAAAAAATAAAATTGAAGATAGGAAATACCAGTAGATGGTGATTATTTTACATTTAAACATGGAAAAATCTGTATATACTTATATTCAATATTTATAACCTATATACTTTTTTCCTACAGACCATCTAACCACGATTGTCTACTACAATACCACATACTTAAATTAAGTTCTGCAATACACAACGTTTAACACCACTGGCAACCATCATATTAAATTTAAATTTTTAACTTTTGAATATAATTCATTATTATTTAGTATTATATTTATAACACAATTAAGTGAAGTATAATAATTAATTAATTAATTAAAGTTAACATTAAAAATCTTAATTTTATTAAAAATAATGTAATTATACAGTTTTTTTATTTCATGAAATGTTCTTAAATCTTTTATGAGACTGAAATTGGCTTATTCATTTTTTTTAATTCTTCTTTAACATGTTTAGGTATTTTAACTCTATTTCTTTTACGTTTTGTTTTATTTTCTACTTTGGGTATAATATTATCTTCAACAATTTTCTTCTTTTTCGGTTTGCATGAAAGTGGATTAGGTCCTTTAGCTCTTTTAAATACCCCAGGGTAATCTTTTAATTCTTCACTACTGCTTAACTCTGTTGTTATTGAACTTTTCATACTTGTCAAAACATTGGTTTCATATTCAGTTAAATTAAATCTAGAAATCAAAAGAAAAAATCATTGAAACAAAGATGCATAAATATATTTTGATGTACAACAATATACCTGGATAGTCGCTTTTGATTGGCATGATCAATAGAGATGGGCGAAGGCGCTTTTAGAATGATACTTAAACCATTGAAATACATAACAGGAACAGCAGGAAGAACATAAAGGGCATTTTGAAGTGCCTTGTCCTGGGTGGCAATAATATATCTGTAAGAATATAGTTTTTTAATTAATCGTTATTAAATAATTTATAATATACATATACTTAAAAGTTTTAGTTTTTATAAATAAAATGTTACAATAAATAAGTATTTTGTTTATGTAATATAGATTATTAATAAAATAATAATTACAATTTAATATATTTTAAGATAAATATATTAAGTTGATATAAGAATTAAACAAATTTATGTATTTATTCTGATTATATATTACAATTTATTTAAGATAAATATGATTTTGATAAGTTTTTATAATACAAGCAAAAATATTAAAAATAAATGTTTTTACGCTAAGTCATCTTTTTATTTTCATTATTTAACTTTTATAAATAACTTGAGTAAAGAAATATTATATATGAATATATGATATAAGAAATTTATTTTTATTGATAAATAATTATTTTAATATTAATTCATATTTTAGCGTTGCTGATTTACACTATGTAACTTAGCCCATTGCCATTATTAATGATAAGTAGGACTAGAATTTATATGCAATAAAAAATTGTAAAATATGCATTTGGTTGATTAAAAATATGCAAAAATATGTATATATTTATATTATAAACACCAAAGAATATGAAACATACTTTAAAAAAAAAATAATAATATGTTTTAAAGTAAGTAAAATAATATTCTTAACTATTCATGCTATTCAAATGTATTACACAAAACAATTACATGGTATTTTAAATTTTCATAACAACAAATTTCTAGACATTAATATGTTCTTTATAATAGGTATTTTTGAACAGCATCAATACATACTGTCACACAATAAAATTGTCTAGTAACAAAATATACCATAAAACATACATTTCTGCGTTTTTATATTCGAAATATGCAATAACATTAATCTTATTCAAAATATGCAATAATTTGCATTTTATCCAAAATAAGCAGTATAAAAATATCACTGTTTATCTCATTATGAAATGATTTGTGGACATAACTAACAAAAGCAATAATTAAAAGTTGTAAAAAAAATATACTTTTGCATAAAAGTCCTAGCCTTACATATTACATTATTTTTAGAAATAATAAATCATGATAGATAATTAGATAAATGATAATTTTATTGATATGGATAGTTTGCTAGTATATTCAAAAATAAATATTTAGTTGAATTAAAATTAACAAGAACCATCTATATATATATTTTAAATTTCTTAGTCAATTTATCACAAAAGTGATAAATAATTATAGGTTATTCATAAAATGTATTTATATACCAGGGCTTGGATTCTTTAGAATGTAATAGTTACTATAAAATAATAGAAGTAGAGTATGCTATAAATTTGCTTATACATCAAGGATTCCAGATATAAAATTTCTTATAGCACATTTTAATTATATTAAATTTTTGAAGTCAATTTGATAATTTGTATTTTAAAATTTATTTTAAACTAAGATTTATAAGGGAAGTTAGAAAAAAAAAAATGAATAAAAACCAAACTTAGCATATTTCTGAAACACTATCTTGTTATTAAACAGTTCAAAAGTTGTTATTTTTATTGTTTTTATTTTGTCTAGTACTTAATAAATATTAATTATTTGAAAAAAAAGTAAACACTTTTTGTGTTTGCTACATCTTATAATAACAATTCATAATATTACAGTACATATTAAAAGATTTTTTAAGTCATTTTATGTTTATGGTCTACAAAATAGTACGTTTTAATGAAATAAAGTTTAAGTCATGTCAATTATTATTTATTACCTTGTTTTCATATTATCTTTTACCATTGATGTCAGGCAACTTGCTCCAGATATAGGTTTCTTTTCATGTCCACATTTATGAATACCAAAATTCTTAACAATGTGCATGGCTGGTCGAACAGTAGCACCTGCAAGACAGAGTTATTTTATCTTAAAAATATTATATTAAATTGCATCATACTCTTACCCAATGCTTCAGTCTCAAGTACAACACACTGTGTGGTTAAAAATTTTACATCACCACCCAAATACTTTGGAATGTCTTCACGTAATTGTACTCTGTTCTATAAGTTTATTTACAAATGAAACATGAGCAAAACAAAAAATTTTCCATGTTATAGAATAAAATTATAGTTACTTGTGCTGAAGCCATGCAAAATGTGCCATCGACGAGTAATTGAAATGGTTTTCGAAAACCAAAGCTGACACAATAGAAATTGATATTGCGTTCGGCTTTTTGGTGACGCTTAAGACGCATTTTATTTTTAAAATTACTGTCTTATGAGCACAGATTGATCGTTTTCTGAAAAATAGATTATGCTTACCTAGTTTTATAATTATAGCATACTATTACTATGAACTACTCATAAATATACCTTCACGGCTCACACCAAGACTTGTAACAAAAATATTTAATACCTACCTTGGTAGTACTTGTTTTCGCGCTAGACTACAATTCAATACACGAATGGCAAAACAATAATAATAAGTAATATTTTAGATTTTTATTGCTATGTGTTCTATATTCTATAAGAACTTATTATTTAGGGCTATAAGCATTACGATTTACGATTTAAGTAATAGAATTAATAGATAGTAATATTATATTTGTTATCAGTTATCTCATATTCTCACGTGTCTCGTTGTTATCATTTTTATATATGAAAAAAACAGTAAATTGTAGCCCCATGTCTATTGATTAGCCTATCCATGTTATCTTCTGGCTTCGAATACGATGAGCCTAAGTATATAATATTATAATATTGTTTATATTTTATTGTAAAAAAAACATCTATTATTTTTATAACAATTACAATTGCATGTACCGATTAGTTGTTAGAAAAAAATAAGGTTACACAAATAAAATATAACTCTCTGAACATGTGAATACAAGTAAAAAAAAAACAACACTTGTTTAGCTCTTTTAAGAATTTAGTTGTAGCTTGCAGAATCCGGTGTTAAGAAGTGTTGCTTAAATGATTGGTACGCAAACTATGCAATAGGTACGCATGCATTGACTTAAGAAACGGCATGGTCAAACCCCTTGCGGTTTCATCTAAGACCTCTGCGTTCTTACGAAACTAGCTTTAACTCTGGTGGTAGAAACCCTTCTTCAGCCTTCTTCAGTCTTCGGCGGCAGACAAGAAAGTCAACAACTTGTGCCTTATTATGTGCATTATTGATTAGTGATTACCTATATATTTATATTATTTATATAACGTGTCACTACACCACACCGTGAAATATATTATGTTATAAGACAATTTTATATATTATATTTTATAAAATGAATTTTTATTTGTGGTTATTTATTTAAATCGTATAATGGTTAACTGTGAGACCGTGATTGTGTATTTCCCTTTATTCAATAAAAACATATTTTATTTATCCCTCTACGTTGAGAGATCTTGTAAACGCCAAATGCCAATATTAAATATGTAACATTATTAATCTTTATCTGAGTAAACACAGTGTCATAACACTCGCAACCGTAATATCCATATATTATATGATATATAGGTAATATAAGCAGAGACGTATTTAGAAGAACTTTCGCTTTTGGCTTGCACTTGTCTTTTAAAAAATAATTTTCGTTCAAAATTATTATTATTTTAATTTAAATTATATATATATATAATATAACATAATTTTTATTTAGTAATCGTTAAGATCCAAGCGTATTTTCTAATTAATAGAAATTATTTTTCACTTGATTTTAAATTTTTATGTTGATTGATATTGCTTATTGGATTCATTTAATAATTATTTGTATTCTTATTCGTTATATTTATTATTTTTATTTGATTATATAGCACGTATAATATTAACTTATATTGTCAATAACTCAATTGACGCCTAGAAGGAGGAGTAACGGGGAAAAAATAGGGACCAGGACACGAAGAAACAAATGTTCTATATAGATCTTTGAATATATAAGTGAGTATATATATTCAGTAGGTACCTACTTGTTTTAAAAAACTCACGTTCGTCAACTAGGTATATGGATTATGCAAATTGAATTTCCGTGTTTTTCGAACGCGTGTACTTGAAACTTTTAAAACCAATATACACACATTATGTATGTGATACACGACCTTTCTACTTAAAATAATAAGCACCTACATAATAATATATTTAAATATAGGTACGTAATGTCGTTCAATGAAAATAACGACAGTGGCTTCGAATGTCGCGAAAACATGGTACCTACGTATATTATATATATATATATTGTACACATTTGAAACATCATCCGTGACCTACTCTACACAGCAGTTCTAGCCGTTGGCGATAAAGACCACTAAAAATGTCTGTACCGATCACGCAGGTCACCCGTGCGCAGGGACACGCGTCGTCGCGTCCTCGGTCTTGCACCGGGTCAAATTGCGCCGTGTGTCCGTGTGTACGAGTATAATATTATTGTTGTGACGATTCGTATTATCGAAAACGCATTTTGCGCTCATCTATTATGCAATGTTGGTTCAGCGTAGGCCGCGTGTTGACAAATTAATTGGGTCGATGTATGCGTTACGTTTCCCAACGTTCGGCACACATATTTTGATACCACGACACGATTAATCGCAATATTGTATATACAGGGCGATGCTTTTTTTTTTTGACGTTACGATTGCTCGTAGTTGTGACTCGGTTAATTCTCGTTTGTTTACAGAAAAACTACAATTTTTACGATTGTATACAGTTTATACAGTTAACAATAATTTAACATTTTATTACATTGTTTTAATTTCATGCAATTGAAAAAAAAACGAATTGAAAATATCAATCATAATCATTTTCTTAAATATAGAGGTAGGTTCTATAAATATATTGTCATCTTGTATCATATAAGTATTTGAATTATTTACAAGAACTTGGAATTTGAAAAAAAATTAATGCGTGTCATTCAATCCCACGGAGATCTTGCCATTTCATACCCATCATTTTATTATAACTTAAATTACTGTAAAACTACCAGGACCATTTGAAAAATCATATGTTGGTGATGTGTATACATATAGACAAAATTGAGATCATATAATGTTATTCGTATAAAAAGCTATATTACTATTAAATCAGGATAAAAAGTTGGATATTTTGGGACTGTTAAATGTATAGGCATGCTTGGATTCAAGGGTTAGATTTTAGGAACAATTCTTTCCCATAAATAAGGTTTTAAGCAAATTAAATCTTAGAAAATTTACTTAGACTATTATATGTAATAATTGATTAAAAATATATATATATATATATATAATTTGGGTCTTAGACGATAAATGAACTTAGATATAATATCTAAGCATGGTATAATGTTCATAATTGTATGTAATGATATTTATTTGAATTGAGTCAGTCCATCAGTGTAAATAAACATTGTTTGACAAACGCGAAAATCTAGTAAGACGACAGGACAAGTACGGTATAAGCGACAAACGAATCACACTGTATACATAATACGCCTATACATAATATATTATGTACATTATATGTATTTCTGCTGATAATATTATGCATGTCGCATATATTATTAGAGGTTGGCATACGACAATAAATAACACGTTGTTGTGGTGTTGGCACGAGCGATTAATGAAAACAAACAGGAAAGGACATATTTGTAAATTGTATTATTATTTTTTCACCGCGATAACGGAAAAGGATAACGACAACGAGGAGAAAGAGTAATAGGTAGAAGTGGGGGAAGTAGGTATATAAATGACGACGATGGCAATAACAATAATAATAATATAGGCGTTTCATTACAGATCGTGTTTGTTTTTTATTTTTTTAATGACAAACCGTCGACACACCTCGCCCGCGTACAAAGTTGGACAAGAAATCTCGAACTCATCTTAAAGGTAAACCGGCGCGTTTACCTACCACTATCATCATCTTCGTCGATCCAGGGACCCAAACCATTCAAGTAACCTAACCATTGATCCTTGGGATTCCACCTGCTAAGCACGACAATCAATTGGCCGCGGTTCCATGATGACTTCGTCGATTGCGGTGCAGGTTTCGGTCTTCCTGGTCATGGCGTCGTTGCGACCACGGTCCACATTCAGTACTCCGCACGGAAGTCTACTGCCGTACGATTACTATACCGCTGACGATGCTGTGTACAATGCCACTGCCGTTGACCACGATGACCGAACGGAGCATGCTCGACATAATTACGGTAAACATCATCTGCAGGTTTTCTAACTTTTTTGTTCAACGTTGTTACCTAAAATATGGTTTTTACCATATAGAAACGCCGTTTCGATTCAATTTCTATTCGATTATGTATTCATTTATATTGAGAGAGTTGTGTTATAAAACGAGCACTAAGAACCGTTTGCCTTTTATCTGTAGTATAAACAAAGGTTTGTATGAAAATAAGAAAATATTTTTATAAAACACACATTTATATATTTTATATAATCACTTCCTTCTCACCTTCTCTTCTAAGACAAATTGAATCGATACGACGTGTGCTTTATATAAAATGGCTACGTTGACCCATGCATAACGTAACACCTATTTGTATTTGATTTGAATAAAAAAAATATTTATTCACCTACTGTTTTTGAGTGTTATTTTTACCAAAGATTTGGCATCTATTATCCCCTAAATAGATACATCGTCTTTGATAAAATCAACTCTCTTAGACTACGCGTGTATCCCTATTATATATAATCTATTTTATTTCTTGAGTTTATCTATATCTAGTGTTTATTAATTAAGATAATTAATTGATATATTTATAATAAATGGTACTAACTATCGACAATATAGTTATGTAAAACAAAATCTATACTTACTGCTCAAGAGTTCAAACTTACGATATATAGGATATTATACATCAATAACAAACCTAGATGGAATATGAAATAAATTTTGGAATAATTTGTTGCTGTTAAATTGAATACTGTGTACAATAATAAATAATGATACAATTTCAAAAGTTACATACAATACGATGATTCTGGATTCAATAGATAATTTGATGAATAGACGCCGACAATTTATTAAAATCACTGGACCTTACTACATCAATATAATATTATTACATGGCCATAAATGTAAACGGTTTGTATTAATAGTTATTTATTAATACCAGAAAAATATTAAATTGGATTTTTTATTTTGATTTTAGTTAACATACTGAAATCGATGATACAATGTTATACGAGGTAATTTATCAAGAAGACTCATTGAAACTCTTTTTATTTTTGATATAGTAAATTAACTAAGAAATTTAAATTTTTAGAAATTTTAATTATACTTAAAGACTAAACTAAGTACACTAAATTTAATGATTAAAAATATAAAATAACATATTATCGTGATTTATACTAATTTTATTCCATTTTAAGTTAAAAACTTACGTTGTGTAGTACCTATTGTTATTTTACTGAAGGATTTCATCGTTTAATGTAAGATAAAAATAATTAATTTTTCACGTATAAAATATTCCAAGAGCATAAGTACAGTAAAATAACTTATCAGACGAAATATTATTTATTCGTTTATAATGTTTATTATTATTTAAGTACAAGTATAAGATAAATGACAATCATAAAAAACTGAAATTAAAGTGATTTGAAATATTTACAGATAAACGTTGATTCATGATAAAAAAAAAAAAATCATGATATCTAAACGAATAGAAGAACAATGGTGATTACCCATTATTTTCACAACCCATAAAGTCGCTAAAAGATTTATTTTATATGGTACCTATAAGTAATATGCTTTATATTGTATGACTTATGTATGATGTTCTAACTTACTATAATAATATACTACCCTTTCAATACGGCTCTTTCAAGGTTTCATCGGAAGGGTGAAATAAGGGTGTTCGAAAACAAAACATACATACTCTTATAATACTATTGTTATAGATGCTATTACTCTTCGCGGTTTACACGTACTAAAATACATCAGAAATATCTACCCCATTTGGGGGATGGTATGTGAGATGTATACACGTGTAGTTATTTTAATGGACAAATAAAGTCCTCGTCATATAATGCGTTCGCATTAAGTTTTCAACCCCTCGAAAATATATTTTCGGAGAGTTTAATGTTTATATTTTCAAGTGAATTTTATGTCCAATGTAAATAAAATGTGGTGTCATTTTGTATACTTAATTCACTTAATTCTTATTAAATAAAATCGACTTTTTTTTATTTTTCGAATAATTCCATATATTGAACCGAACTCATAGTCTCACAAAAAACTTCTATATAATTCAAATAAAAATAATAAATTTTGATACATTCTATACATCGAAGATAGAGGTGATGAAAAACTTTACGTACCATAAGTGAATATTTTTGGTTAAACTCTAATATTTGAATTAATATTAGGTCTAGAATTTATTTCAAAGCTTGCAATTTTATAAATGGAGAACATGGTGTAGCGAAAAAATTTGTATGATACAAAGAGGGAAGGGTTAAAAGTTATAAAGGTTTATTCTTACTGAGCGTTTTGGTTTTTAAATCATTCAATGAATTTGTTCATTTCACCGACATTATATTGTATACCTACGACCTATATATATAACAAATGTACACAGGGGCGGATTTAAGACACTGCGAACTTGCAGCCGCATAGGGCGGCAAATTTATGGAGAGCGGCTTTTTATACGCAGTAAAATGGTATATAATAATTATTTTGTTCTTATACCTACCTATAGAAAAATACTTAATTTTTTTCTTAAATTTTTCAATTTCAAAATAAATAATTAACGTTAAAATTACTTATATAACCAAATAGTTATTTAATACATTTATTATTTTTTTCTTGTATAATAAGAATAAAGAGAAAATACTATATTTGAATCAAAAAGTTTTTTATTGAACTTTAGTTAAATGAAAAAAATAATTGCATAATACATATAGAAAATTTTATCATGTAAGGAAATTTTGTTGTACAGAGATGATTTTTTTTTAAATAAGAGCAGTAAATTTTTTTTTTTTGGAATAGGGGTGGCAAATTGTTAAATCCTCCTTTGAATGTATAAGTTATACTTGATTTAATTTTTAAGTTGGTCAAAAACTTTTTACACCCATTTTGTAAGTTAATTAAAATTGACTATATCTCTATAATATAATATTTCGGTCGTTAAAGTCTTTACTTTGTTCGGTAATTTTTATGTACCTTAAATTAATAAGCCTAGAGACCAATATATTTATTTTATCATAATAATAGTATAACGAGATTGTTTATAACTAGGTTATCCGTTTATTCGAACAAAAGCTGAAGTATGACATTTTTTCCAAGTATCGTGAGCAGTTCGCTTTTTGCCCAATTTTGAATTTTTCTCAATTATATATTACGCAGAAAAAATATTTTTAAAATTATGTCAGAAGTATTAATATGTATGAATCAAACAGTCAAGAAAAAAATGAAAAACAATTTGTAAAAAAACAGTAAGGCCATTACACATTATTCAATTTTGTATTTCACACGTAATATTTGCCATTTGGTACTATATACAATTTTAGTCGCTTAATAAACTACGTTAATGAATAACATTACTTCGAAAATTGAAGTTTCGTTTTTTCAAATCGTTTATAGTATTTATTAATCATGTATAATTTATGCACAAAATTCATGAATTTGTTTATAATACAAGTTAATGTGGTTATATATAATTGATGGGTAATACGCATGTCTGTGTGTAGCTGAACAGTATTGTTTTCATAGGCGGATATTGATACATTTAGTTGAAGGGGCTCAAGCTCTAGATTACTTAATGAAAATAATTATTAATAACTTCCTATTTGCTTAGAAATAATCTTGCATATGGTTTGTAAAAATAAATAAATACATTTTAAAAATAAAGACCAGCCATCTTGTGGCATCTAATTATATTTCAATACATTTATGAACAAATAAACTAAAATGTATTGATGTATTGCATAATATTGCAATATTACTACAAATACAAAAAAATAATATCTAGTGTTGTTACGCCCTTTAAATAGTATGTTTATGAATGATGATACAAAATATTAGGTACCTACATAACTACGATGTACATTTGGGAACACTAATCGAAAATTTAGGGGGCTTAGCTCCTCACAAGCCCCGTCTATGATTGTTTCGCTAATAAATTCGTAGGATTTAGGTACAAACTGTTATGTTTTATTATTGTGTCACATTGCGTACTCGAACATTGTTTTTCACATCATTTCAAAAAAGCATTTATAAAAAAGATATTTTTTACACGAACGCACTGCTGTAATATTAATCCACTGTAGGGATTTAGGGGTGGTGTATAGATAAATAAAAAGCTACACATATTACACACTTAAGCAACGTTTTTGAACGCCTATATGTGTATCTGTCTAAAAGAAAATTGTATTTACAATTGGTAAATACAATGCACAGTATAGCTTTCAAAATATCAGCCAAAAACCTTATGCACTAATTTAACTATTAAGTATCTATAATACATAATAATATAGTATTTTGGATAAGCCTTCGAAAAAATTACAATCGAGGACAAACAGACGGATTGATGAATGTTGATACATCCTGTTTATATATTATAACTAGTAGTTAATAATATGACATACTCATACGCATGGGCATAGTATTGCAAATGCGGCGTGTATTGTCTTTATGCTACTTGTCATTGTCATACCATCCACGGCATTGAGTCCATTAACGCTATAATTATTTACAAATGGCGTAATACGCAACACATTGTATACGCGCTATTATATATTACGATAATACATATATGTATTATAACATAATGTTGCCAGTCGTACCTATTATATGCTGCCGACGACGAGGCACATAATCTTTGTGGCACGTATATTATAATATTATATTCTTCTTTACGAGTCATTATTTTCGCAGATTTATAATTTACGTAAGCGATTATTGATATCGAAATACTGATGAGACCACATAATACAATGGTCATACATCGTACTACGTATTAGGTATGTACTATGAGCATCCGAGCAACAATCCAACAACAATTTGGCGAATTCGCCTTGAACCGATTTCACCCTCAGCCAGCGGTGCAGGTATATTATGCGATGTACAACTAATATGTTATATGTGTGTCACAATTCATAATGATTGTATTATTATGGGCATATGTTATTATTACACTATATATTACTTATTGCATCTAAATATTTATTATTTACCGTTTGTGTGTAAGAGATAATTGCGTATGACACGCCGTTAAGTTAGGGTACACGATAAGTAGGTAGTCTATACAATGTTTTGATTTTCAACTTTAAGAGTGGTTTTGGTGCAGTAAATTGGATCTAGTTTTTACTCTAGAGATATAAAAATAATTGAGATAATCACACAAACATTCTAGAATTAAAAGCGTTTTGAAAGAATGTATTATTTATTTATTTGTATGCTGAATTCAAATTTAACATAGGTAATATCCATTACAGCAACACATTCGACATCTACTGCACAACAGACTGGTACCGACTTGATAAGCTTTTTTTATTTTGATTCTTAAATCGTTGAAACTTATATTTAAAAAAAATATAAAACTTGTTTTTTATGGATTTAATTTGTTTTACCTAGTTTAACATATAATTATTTCGTAATATTGCACCGTTGCAAAAATTTCAATCATGATATTTTATAATTTACAACTTTTATAGAATATGATTTAAAATTTATAGATTAACAATGTTCTTAAAAAGTTCTTGAAATCCTTACTATATTAGTCTTTAGGCCATATTATAAATTATAAGTAAAGTTAGATAATGGAATTACTTAATAATATGACACGTCGTCACATTTTAATCCTATGGGCTATGATCATAGTATTCTACGACTATTGAAATTATTTCGGTGATACAGTAATGATATAAGTCTATATTATTTTGTGTTCCTTATCAAAAAATAAAATATAATGCTCAACGGCCTGTGACTATATACACGGTGTATTGTATACAGACTAAATAGCACAATCTATAAAACATAAATATATCATGTGCTCCGTGTGGTTGCTAGGTGAAAACTCATACTTAAATTAATTTTAAAATAGCACTGCAATATTCATCTGACATCTACGATAAGTACGAATCAATTGCAATTTGAAATTATGGTTAAACTACAGAAAATTTTATTATATATCATACATATATAAGCCATATATATATATATATATATTATATAAAACATTTATAATTTGTATTATTTCGTTTTAGAAATAATATATTATGCACGTTTTAAAACAATTTTGATATTTTCTCAGAATTCCTTTAACTCAAGGGTTGTCAAATATATAAAGCTGTATTATAATATTATGATTTATGTTATAATATAATATGTATATTGTATATATTATTGTGATGATTGAAAATAAAAATTAAATAATGAATAGTACACAATAGTTAATTTCTTTCATCATTTTGTTCAAAATACAAAAAAAAAAAAAATATTATTTACTTATTGATAACACACCTATTAAATATTAATAATTAACAAAAAAAAAAAAAAAAATTTAAAAGAAAATTTTTTAAAAAACATTATAAAATGACAAGAATTACAAATAAACAATTATACATACTTAATTATAATAATTAATAATATAAGCCTACCAACAAATATTTCATATACATCGAGACACAAAACATTTTAATCACTATAGTATATAGACACAAATATAAATACACAAACGAATACGTATATTTTCAAGTTCATATTAAAATTAAACAAAGTATTTAATAAAATCGTGGAACATACGCATTTAATTATGTTTATTATAAATTATAATATACATATTACATATAAGTATTATTTATTATTATAAATGTATACTGTATAATATGATTTGTTTTTTGATCGGTGAAAAGAAATTAGGTTTATATTTTACTACATAAAACAAAACTGATTATTATTATTGTTATTATTATTATTAATAATATTTGATTGCACACATTCAGGTAAAGTCTAGCTTTAGCTAGTGTTTAAATTATATAACAATATTGCCATTATACCATTAACATAACGTAATAATAACAATAATAGTAATAATAATAATAATAATAGTAATAATATTAATAATAACAATAATAATAATAGAAGTGATGATAATAATAATAATAATAATAATAATAATAATAATATTTAAGTTACAAAGTTTATGAAGTAATATTATTGTTTAAGTATACACGCCGCGAGAGAGGGAAATCGTTATTGGATTATCCCAGGGATAAAAACTAAACGACGACATTTTTCAACGTGGTCGTCATGAAAAGCTAAAACATGAGATCATTTGAAGCTTGCCTCTTATGTTTTTTTCATTTAAAAAAACAACAACATAAACAAAATGAAAAATTACATTTAACACAAATAAAACGAGAAAACGAGAAAACAGCGGTGAAAAATGATCATTCTGAATCATGGACACCACACAATATTTATAATAATACAATGGTCAGTGACTATATAATAAGTGATAAATAAGTGATGGTCAACGATATTGAAAAATAATATGATGAATCGAATTCAGTTTCATCGAAAATGTCTGCATTGAATCTTACCAAAGTCAAAAAATTAAATTTTATTCTGATGAATGCTTTATTTCAATTGAGAAATAAACATATAGCTTAAAGTACTTGAGAAAAATCAAAAAATCTCTTTAAGTCATAAAACCAACATTTGTGGTATTGATAATATACTCCGTTTTATTTTTTTATATTAATTTTATAACATGGACATTTTTGTTTTTATTTGTTAGTAGGAGTACATAATTTGATATTGTGATACAATATTGGCATTAAAAATGAAGTCGTTGGGCATCTGGGTATCACAAATATTAATACTGAACGTAAATAAGTACATTGCATTGTGTTATATTAAATAAATATAATATCCGGTGAGATTAGATTGGAAGAAGGTATCCAAATATAATAATATAAACGTTCGATTGTGTCTGGCTCTCGTTTTCCATTCTCAGAACAGCCATTTTTCGCCCAATTAATAGTAAATGCCTTAATGATTATTACACATAAATACATAATATCAATATAATTATAATAATTATACATATATATATATATGTACAAAACATAAACGGTTTAAAGATGTTCGATTAAATCGTAGAAATAATAAATATATTATAAATTTAATTTGTATGTGTGACATAAAGATAAATTATTAATAAATCGGTGTGGCCTTCGGCCATAATATCATAATAACATAATATAGAAATATTGGTTTTAATATTTTTTACATTGTTGGTTTCTGTCGTTTTCGGGTTGTACTGATAGAGGTAAATATAATAATGTATTCTAACCAAGAGTCTTGCTATTAGAAAACCATAAATTGATAAAAATAATACTAAAAACACCTATTGAAACTCCTAGAAAATTTTAATAATAGCGGGAAAACAATAAAATGACGAACATCTTATTAAAACGATTACGACATTAAATCTTAAATATACCTATCATTTAATACAAATATATTATATATAAATAAATACTTAAGTTCTAATATTCTTATAAACTAAATGTCGTGTCGGATTTGGACGGTTTCTCGAACGAGAAACTACAATCAAAATCGCGATCACGAGGACTAGTGACCCCACTCGTATTTTCGGTCGACGTGTAATAATACAAATATACTATACACGCGCGACCACGTAATATTAATCATAATAATAATGTTATGTCTAATAAAGAAATAAAAACGAACTGAACAAATAAACAGAAAGAAAAGTAAAAAATAAACAAAAACTACAAAAAGTCTACAAACTACATTTTATCCTCGACCACGAGTGCTTATTGACCACATTTTTTCGCATACCCTCCACACTGTCTTGTGGAAGGTGGCAATGCGGTCGCCCGGGAAGAGGATTTTTTAGTTGGATTATAAAATGGCCACATTTGTCACGGTAATGATTTAATTATCATCACTGGTACATGCTTAATATTAGGTATATAAGAACTTAACGTGTTAAGAAAAAGTATATTATAATATGTTATAATATTATTATATAAATTATTGTATTTTCAATATTGCACATAATTTATGTGCGATTATTAGATAACAATAATGTGATGTATAATGTATACTTAAATCCTATGGAATTGCATCTTCCCAGCCTTAAAAATAATTATGTTAAATTATTTTTTTTGTTTTGCTTTTTATTTTAATATTTTTTCTTTATACTTATAATACGACATAATTTATTTATCATTAAAAATAATAAGAATCTATTAATGTTTATTATACTTAAATAAAATATAATATTTAATATTGAAAAGGACTTTAAAAAAGTAGGGGTAAAAATATGAAAAAAATATTTCATTAATTTCAGTCTTCTGAAGGGAAAACGTACAACATAATAATAATAATAAGTACCTAATAACAATGTCAAAAAGATTAATTTAGTTATTAATTATGTAAATATATGCAATGCGTTTGGAACGCGTTTACATCATAATATTGTGTTGTCTACTTATATTAATATTTATTATGTATAATAAATGGAATGTTTTGTATGGAATACTGAAATTGTATAATATGATGGAAATGATATTTTAACGATAGTCGAATTAAAAAAAAAAATTGCTTTTAATTTGCCTATATAATTTTATTAAATTATGGCGCCGTAATAATTATATTGCATCGTACGGCTTCTCAAATTTAATTCGATACACTTATAAATTAAAACAACATCGTTTTATGTCTACCTATAATATAATATTTATAATATTTGTAATGTTATAACAAAATTAAATTAAAACAAACATTAATTACCATATACAATATTTTTGTCTTTTATTTAAAAATGGAGGAATTTTGAACCCGTGCTTTACGGTTGTCCAAACGACGAGTAAGTACGACTATGTGGAGAGGAGCAGCCTTGCTATTTGTGTACCACGTGCCCCTTCTCACCAGTACACACGTACACGCGTTTGGGTCACCACAAAATAAATAGTAAATCGCCTCGAAAATGTATAATTTTATTCAATGTTACGTTATTATATTATATAATGTATTCAAATTGAAAAAGTAAAATGCTTTTCTTCTGTTGTGCGTGCGATTATTGTATGAGGGGGAGGGTTATCACTGTTAAACGACGAACAATAATAATGTTTTTTTTTTTTTTATCAATATCGAATATTATTATATTTACACGACCTCGATAGAAAAAAATATTGTAAATTATTGCCAAAGAATTCGATAGTCAGACGTGATGGATGACGGCGAGGGATTAAAAACTGAAAAAATTAAGATATCTAAAATACATAATTATAATAAATATAAAACTACTCAATGGTTTCTTCGAAATATCATCAATTACTCTATACATTGTTGTTTATTTTGATTATTTCTAGTTTATTCAGTATAATATGTCTTTCGATAAAAAAAAATAAAATATTGATTAAAAGAAAAACCATTAGATATACATAAATTATATACACATCAATCGTTTTGCAAGTTCAATCCCCATGAACGTAATATTGTTAATGTGTTATTACTATATGAAAAACGCATAGGTATACAACGACTATAGTGTATACGTTTAATATAATGTATAATTTATATGTTTTAATCTAAGATACGCATTTAATGCCTGTAAAAAAATCCACAACGCACTCATTCTGAACAATTGGTCACACTATTGTTAAAAAGAGGACTAGGGGGAGGGCGAAGTTCTAAATGATTATTTGAGTTTTTTTTTATATTTCACATGTTAAAATAGAGGTTGGACTACATATATGTGTTTGTATTATACGCAGATAGCTAATTTTATATTTTTATCAGTTTTCAAAAATATAAGCCAAGTCGTACGTAATATATAGATTTTATTAGTTGGCGCTGCATAATAGCGGAAACTTAAAAGCGAAACGACAGATTAGTTTTTCTGTATAATTATTATTCTGAATGTTCATGCACCGCCATGAAAAAACCTGACATGGCACACGTGACCGACCCTATATATCATGCTTTCAGTCCCATCTTTTTTGTCAAAGAGATTAGATTTAAATCCCGGAGGCCTGCGAAATAGTTCCAAATGCTGTCTAAAATCATGCCCACGATTATGGCAAAATAACCTAAATTTATTTTTGAAGATTGTCACTGAATTTTTACCGTCACCGATGAGGTATATATGGAGAGAAATATGATTATGCGCATTTCAAAATATTGGTAAATTAATGGTACGATAAAAATGGCACGAGAGGAAAAAACTTCCGCTCCACTCGCATAATATAATATATACAGGACAATTTGCGGTGGGTAAGCGCACCCCAGACAGAGGGATTTATCGATTTGAGAACGTGGACGGACGTGATGGGTGTTGGTGGGTGGACGGGATTGCGCAAACGTTATACCTTGCGCATGAGTACATTACAATAATAAATAATGTTTACGGCTAACGGTGTTTCATCGTAATATTGTATGTACTACGCAAACTCCGCTTAAGCAGAATCAAAATATTTTCGTTCATTAATATACAATATCGTGATAATATATCATAATCAAACGATATACTCTCTAAACAAACTTCTTGAATTTAATACGCATTTATTATTGACGGCATGATACTAAAATTGTATAATTTTGTTGATTTAAATATATTTTTACATCGATACATTAAATAGCTGGTTTATGATAATATATTAACCGACAGTACATTACGGAATTGTTCTAACATCGTAGATAAACCATCATTAAACTACAGCGGAGGTAGCATGCGTAACAGAATTTTGCTGTTTCAACACGCTTGAAAAAATTCAAACTTAAGCTGTCAGACGGATGTTTCAACACATTATTACATTAGTTATTACGATTGGTTTCTGTCAATAAAAATTATCTCAGACATGATAAAATAAACAAGTGGGTCAGTAACAATGCAAGTGTTAATTCAACTGGACACATCCCACCGTTCCAACGAGAAGAGATGAATTTGGCTTATTGTTGAAATTTAGAGTGGTTGGTGAACACGACATGAATCATAAAGTTAATGACATATTTATGTACTTTTTTTTTGAAACCGTGGATTTAGATCGAAACTTGAAATTAGGGACACTACAGTTCGAAACGCATTTCAACAGAATCTCGAGTCAGATTAGCGCATGCTCGGTAAATCAATCATAGATCAATTTGAAACTAGTCCCCACGTCCCAAATTTCGTATTGAAACAAACCTTGTACATGGTGTCGTTTCGCAGAGGGTAATGGCCATCAAATGGCGACGGTGAGAGGAGGATTTTGCGGCTTCATATAATAATAATAGTAATAATAATAATGATAATAATTACAATGATATTTTATTTAACGCGGTAGACACTGTAGGAAGACGTGTTCCAGTACACATAACATGTGTTCTATAAACATTTTTATCATCGTGGATTGGACGATCGACAATATGTAATTTTATGACAATATTAATGGCGATGCGCGTTACCGTTGCAAATGACAGGTGTTAGAACTGCTGCTAACTGTGAAGGCAACGATGACACGGTTTGTACTGCATATTTCGCGGTGGTTATTGTGAACGGCGATGGCGGCGCTATCATTACGCCGACTGCAACACCGCGTTGAGCGTGCCGCAGGCTTTCAGTTCGCTGAAGATCTCCGTGAAGTACGCGGGCTCGGCGTTGATGCGCAACATCTTGGCCGACATGGTACGGACGATGCCCAGGCACCGGTCCCAGAATGCGTCCCGACTATCCTCGACCAGGAATGGTTTCAGCGGATACGATATTTCGTTGCCCATGTACGAGTACGCCAAGTACAAGCATGTGAGCACTACAGCTTGCAGTTCCGGTTCCGTGGCCACGCGTTCGTCCACCAGCTCCCGAACCAACATGTACACGAACACCACGTTTGCCGGATTTATGAACGGCACATCCTGCAATAATGCAAAAACGATATAAACTTTATTATAAAATAATGACGAGTGACGATTATATTTATAATAATATATTAGATATATATTATATCATTGAAAAGCCACAATATAGTTTATAGTTTATATCGTATTGTGGATAGGGATCAAAGTCTAGTTTGACGTTCGACTATGAAGTAAAATTGGGGAGAAGAGTGAGTGAGGATTTAAAGGTTTAGATTTTTTTTGTTTTATAGTGTAACGTGTAATGGGACGTGTAACTTTGTCGCGTTGTAGGATAACTAACGTCTGTCAGTAATATTACACTACTATAATATACATAATAATTTTAATTCCAACAGTTCAATGACACATTTGATTTTTCCAAATGTTTTAAGTTTAGAAGTAGGTGACACTATCGGGTCGTTGTTACGGTATATTACAAGTATATAAACACCTATGATATTTCAATAGTAATAATAGTAGTGATGCACGTTATAATAACAGAAATTATTTTATCAAACGGCGTCATGGGTAGGCAATTCAGACACACAGTTTGGTTTCCGTTTTTTTTTTTTTTTTTCTAATACCATATTAAACATAATAATATGAGTAGGTATAATAATATAATATATTGCCAAATAGGTAATATACGTTGTGTTTTATCAGTGATAGTGACTCACATTATATCATATAACAATCCACAAACTTAGAGTTAAAAAACGGTAAATGTAGTTTTACTTTTTTTTTACAATATTTTAAAATATAAAATTTCAAATGTTATTAAATTAAATATGTAGGCAATAAAATAATAAATATTTGTACTTAAAGTATTATTTTTTATATTAGAATATTTCTTATATTTTCAACATAATGAGTTTTAAAATATTTACGTTATAAAGAAACACATTTCATAAATTGGCATAGTTGTATTGGCATTATAATTTAAAATAGTAAGTTTTTGTAGTTTATAATAAATTAATAAGATAAAAAAAAAATAGTTTAATAAATGAAAATATATAATGAACAAAATTAATAAAATGATATACTCAAGTAGTTTTTTATGATAGAAGAGTAAAGTGTTTTAAAATGTATTTTTTTTTTTTTTTTTTTGTCATCGTATCTATAGGTATATAATTATAATGATAATATTAACTTTAATTTAATTAAATTTTTTCTATTTATCTAACACCCCATCAATCATCATATATAAGTCACTTAACTAACAAAGTATCTAAACTAAACAACCGAAATGTCAATGGATACTTTACAATATCATGGTATAATATTGAATGACTGAGTTCGACAAATCTTCAAATTATTATTTTATTATCATACAATTATAGGAGAAACCATAAAAACTGATAAATCGATTGATTAATAATCACTTTTTGTTATTTATGTAGACATTTTCAGTTATTTTACTTAAAACAAAAAGTTATAAAAGGTTGAATTAAAAAAAAAATTAAAAATCTATAAACCCATTAAAAAAAGATAAAAAATAAATTACAAAAAACTGTTTTTATAGTTTTATAAAACGTGTTAAAAATAATAACTTTTTACCAATAAAATAAACCGTTCCCCGTTCGATATTGTCTCGATATTATGATATTATAATTTTATAAATAGCTGTACACTAGCGGTTTTTATGCTATATAGACACCATTACTGATTTAATTGGTTACCTACATTCAACGGTTGGTGTATTATAATATTACATGTTATAAAACAAGTAATGGACTATTTATAGCTATTATAGTATTATGTAAGTGACTTTACAACGTATACACATATATATAACATGCTGCAATTGTTTTATGTATATATTTATTTTCATGAAGTAATATAATTCAATAGTTCTTTATTTGACAATAAAGGAATTTTAAGTACTGAAAATTCAATGTACTCTCTATTTTTTATATTAATGTCAATGGCATATTATGTATAATGTATATAGTATATATATTTATGAAGTCAATTAACAATAAAATAAAACATTATTTCAATATATATTCAAGCAATGATGATCCATATTAACCTTATTATTTAATATTATTATTTTATAAAAATTATTAATGACATATATGCAATTTTTTTCAAAATTTATATCTGTAATTATAAATAGTGGTTAATGATAAATCAAAAAAAAAAAAAAAACAATCTATTTATCTAAATTTTGATACAACCATGTGACTTTTGGTAGACCTTTTTTCATGCTTTATAAAATCTTCATTCACTTATTAAGCATATTGTAATAATGAATTGATCATAAATTATTTATTAGTCCATTTAAAATAAAAACTGAAACCTAAAAAATATTAATTGATTGATAGCACTACTAAAAATTATCAATAAGATAGTTTATAGAACCAGTATTATATATATATATATACATACAATATAAATGGACTTATTTTTTACAAAATAAAAAAAAATGTTAAGATAAAGTTTATTTTTAATTGTTTTCATATATCTGTCAACTATTTAATAGCTTCAGGGGTAATTAAAATTTGTTGTGTTAGTATATTACACATATCAGAAATATAATTTTTAACTTAACATAATTAAATATAAAATTTTAAATCAAAGAAACATTAAATGGAGCAATCATTATAAGTAACGACTAATAAAACAACCTATATTTAAAAATGAAACAATAAATGTTATTAAAAAAATTATATAAAGAAGTCTTAAGTAGGTACCTAACAATGATCAATTAACTATTAAAGACTTTATATTGTCGATTTTTTTTTTTAAATAACACCCTGGTTATAATGTTATAGAGTTCCTATGAGGTGAGTAACCTATGACATACTGTTGTCTAAGGTTTTAATAATAATAACATTTTATATATTATTCAAAATAATGATAATAAATGTAAAATTTAATGATTTAAAATATAATTGTTAATCATAGTAATATTACGTTAGGTTAAGTTATATTAGGTATTTATTTCATATTTAAATAAAATACATCTTTAAATTTTTTCTTTTAGGTGATTTCTAAGAGTCTTTAAATAAGTAAGTTTTAGTGTACAAGTACACTTAAGACTTATTACTAATACTCATATTACTATTAGATCTCATACACACGAATATATTCGCATGTCTCTATTTCCGAATGTGAGTGGATAAAAATTAAATCCGTATATTTTACACGAATGGATCGCGTCGATTTAAGCTACCGGAAATCACCGTAGTTGCTATGTAGCCGGAATGATGAATTAGATTAGATAATCGCCGTCGATGAAGTGGTTTCTATTCTATTTACACGCGGTTTTCATTTCTCTCGTCTCTACAAACACAGCTATTGTGCACGTATTTAGTATATTATGTATTAAGCGCAAAGTACATAACCATTGCTTGCACTATGTATTAGTTAAATCTCTTTAGTTTATACTCATGTCATATAATTTAACTGAATGATTACGTATTTCCATGTAAGGAGATTCAAGTAGATACGGTATTAGTTATACTTGATATATGAATACGAAACAACTCGACTTGGGTTCCCTCCTTTTAGTTTTTATTATTGTAAAACTATTATAAATAAAAACATATAAAATAATTGTAATAACACTGAAGGCCAATATCGTTGATTTACATACGTAAATGAGGTATGAGAATAAATGCATAATATAGTATGCAAGTAATACAATTGTAATCCTGCAAAACAGTGACAGTTATCCTATGGTCTATCTTATCTGTTTGGTCTATGCTTTAGTTACACAAATACAATCTGATAGATGTTAGAGTTGTTGAATATTGAGTGATTAATAAATGTAAACATTTACCATAATGATTCATAATAGTATCTATAATATACTTAATAAAAAAAAATAATGACTATAAAGAATCATTTTATAATAATTTGTTGATCCTACACGGTTTTGGCAGTCATGAAAATTAAATGCCCATGGATTTATCTTTTATTAAATTCCGTTGAATGTAAACTAAATAAATTTATATTTTTAAATACTTTTTATTTATTAAAAAAAAAAATATATATCACGATATCTTAATTCAATGTAAAGTTTTTAAACTTTAAAATTTTTCATGATCTACACATTTAGCGGTGAATTAAATACACCTAACTTTTTTTTTTTATAGATTTATCCGTTACCTTAGTAATACTGATATAAAAAAAAAACAATTATCAATTATTATTAGAAATTATATAGTTTTTTAATTTATACATATTAAGTTAATGTCAGAAGACAGAAATATAATTTATACATTAAATCAGAAAACCAAACGCGTTACTTAAAATGTTAGCATTAGGAAACCAAAGTTAACACTGATGCATTTTGTACGGACAACGAAGTGTGCGAGAAAAATTAGTTTTCTACACTAAGAAATTTGAAAACCTTTAATTTACCATTTTATTATAACTCAGTTTTTTCTATTTAATTAAAAGTAATCTAAAAACAAAAAATTAATCAATATACTATATCTCATTTAGTCACGATGCATATACAATATGTATAAATAATAAGTTATTTAATCAAATTCTTACTTTTAAGAATCATCTTTTTAAATACCTATATTATTTTCACAATTTAAAAAGTGTCTTATAATTATACATATTTTTTTCTTATAGAAAAATAGTGATATAAAATAAAGTAGAACGAAACTCTTTTCCTTTAAATCTTAGACACATATTCAAGTTAAAAAAGAAGTAGTAAAAAGTTCATTATAATTATTTATTATTATTATTATTTAAAATAAAAATATAATGTTTTTTTTAATTAAATAAATGAATTGACGTTTTATTGAGTCTTTATTCTTGAACAAAACTAAAAGATTAGTAGTATGTGTAATTGGTTGCCATAATTTAAAAATTCTCCAAAAGGGGTCGTCACATAAAATGTTTGCAAAATTTTTGTTTTAGAAATGTCATTTCAGGCACGTCACGTTAAACCAGAAATTTACTAACGTGTAAGACATTTAGACATATGCTGTAAGATAAGTGGAGGTGTACAAAAGTGTATACAATATAGCTATTCTTCGCTTGGCGTTTATTTGAACGAGTATATCATTAAAACTTGTTGATGTTGAATTTTGACATTCAGTGTGCGTGTATACGCGATATATACATATATCATGTGTCACAATTCACGATGATGATGAAATATTAAGTGAGAATTTATCGTATTATATTATGTTGTTATTTTATGAAATTGATGATAATTTTACGTGACAGGGTGGCGTATATGAATGATTCGTAAATCATCCACATGGATACACTGTGCAATTTATAAAATAAGCTACATCGCCCATAAACACAAATATCGGTACAAAACGGCAGGGTACTTTTCTCGTTGTCTGATTATGCTATATTATTGACTATCACCTCAAATTAGGAAATATTATTGTGCGTAATTAAAATCAGCACTCTATACACTCAATAATAATTATAAATATAAAATATTTATACATTTTGATAGCTAGTCAGCAGGTATATTATAATTCATATCATTATGAATTTAAAATAATTTGTATACATGCTATATTCATTATCCACACCCAAACACATATATTACCTAATCATAAATCGATAAAAATAAGAGGTTAACATTCAAAATCTAAAGAAAAAAAACTTTTAGAAAATAAATTATAAGAAATAACGTAAATAATTTAAAATTTTACTATATCTCTGTGATTTATTACAAATATGTAACATATTTTGCAATGTTTTATTTGTCCATTATATTGTGATTTATAGTCTTAAATTAAAATTGCTATGATAAATTTATTTTATTGAAACATTAAAAAATCGACTCGTATGATGTTAAATTTATTTTAAAAAATATCTTAGAATATTTGATAACACTAAATTATGTGAGAACGGTGGGCACAGAAAATTGTCGGAGTTAACAGTCGATTTGGTTATTTTTTTATAATTTAGGTGATGGTAAAAATAATATACAACAATTTAATTTATATATCATAACCAAAATTTATATTTTTGTATTTAACAAGTTAAATTGAACATTTTTGAGCATACGTTTAAAAAATTGTATATTGCTTAATATTTCTACACACGTGTTTATTGCAATTTACAAAATATGCTTTAAACTTAAAATCAATATAATACGGTTATAGTATATTTACGAATACTTAATAGGTTAACATATTAAGTCGGTCATTGCTAAAATATTCTATAACGACACTGACCTAATTTTTGATAACATCATATTATAATAGCCCCGTATAATATAAGACCACCTATCAAATTACGTATATTCAACTTTGTTCGATATTTACGAATGCATATTAAAAATATTTACTTATTTATTTTCATAAATTTAATATCCTTTAATTATTGTTTTTTCTCTGTAGCGCATCTTATTATTTGCATATTATATATTATAAAATTATAATAAAGGAACTATGGTTGGATAGAATAGAATTTTCTTCACCAATTATAACCTTTTTATCCTTTGTTTTTACAGATTTCTATGATACATACCGATATTATAATATTATACATTTTTCATACATTATGCGTTTATTTTATTATATTAAAAACCATCACATCAAAGTTAAAATTAGAATTATGGATTTTAAACGCCAAACTTAGTTGGTAATCGACATTTGTGTACATATTATATGTATATTTTAATAATGTATATTGTTATATATTATATTTGATTATAGTATACTCAATGTAAACTATAAATTAAAAAAAAATGCAGTATATTAGCCTTTGAAATAGCTTAGTGTCACGCACACTTATCAATTTATTGATGGTTCATTCGACACAAAGAATAGTTCATGATATGTATTTATACGAGGTATTTATAGTTCCAGAACAGCTTAACTTATTCAAATTAAATTTTATTTTACTAAAAAAATTAGAATAATAAATAATTGTTTTACAACTATAGCGGAAACTAAACTTTGTAAACATACGAGTATTGTACTCTATACAGTAGTGATTAATTTGTTTTGACACTTAATTTTTTTGTTTATTTGCCGTTTGAGAAACTTACATTTTGAAATTAAAGAAAAATCGTATATACACTTGTGTATTGTACGTTTAAGTAACCTCGCGCTATAGCTGTTGATTATTGCAACTTTTATTTATTTGTGCACTTGTTACTTGTTTGTCTGTTCACCGTTTGCGTTTCATTAAAACTTTTGAAGAATGCAAGTGCGAGTTAAATGTAATTATATTTCAGATAACTATTCTACCAAGATTTTACTTAGATAGTCTAAATTATAACCTCATCTACACATAGGTATACAACATGAACACATACGTTTTATGTAAATATAATATACAATCTAAGTAAACATCATAGTGGTGTATTATATGTTTGATATTTTTACAACTACAAGGAACTCGTGGTGTTTAAGTGATTTATTTACATCTTATTGTACCTACTTTTACAAAGCACTAAAACATGTAATCCTCAAAAATATGTGACTATAGCCAGTAGTCACATTATATACGTCTATGACCATAGTTTCCGGATTACATATTACACGACTACTCGTACACTATGAAACACGAACAAACACAATCGGGAGGTTGGTATTAAAATATTTATCGATAAAATTCGATGAAGTTCGAAAGTCACACGGTCTAACCATGGTAAGCGTTGACAGAGGCGACCATCGACCATATTATTATTTACGGTATGCTGTTTAGTGTTTATGTTTATTTCATTTTTCATTTCCACAAGTGAATATTATATATAAAATAATATTGTTCAATACAGTCAATACAGAGACAAAATCTCGGCCATAAATTTCGGTTCAACAGTTTTTGCATAGCTGTTCACGAATTTATATGCCAAAATTGTAATTCTATAATACCACGTTATGTTTAAATAATATTGTGCGGTGGTATAATAGGGTTGATAACCTCCAATCCAAAAACATGATATGCCGCCTGTTTAAAGAGGATCAACAAAGTTGCCTGTATTATTTACAGGTTCCTTGTATGAACAAACATTTTCATACACGTCGATGACCGTTATTTGGAAAACACAGTATGTATTGTATTTACAAATTAGATGATATATGAGTTTGTTAAATAATTGTTTTATTTTTAATATTTTTAATAGTTTTAAAATACAATTAATTAATTTTTAAAATTTTTAAAGCATTTTATACTATCGAAATACATTTTTTTGAAAAATTTTAATGTACTATAATTAATGTTTCTTTTGTTTTTATAGCTGTAAAAGCGACGTGTGTGTATAAACGTGTCTAATTATTATAGATTACATTTTGTACGTGCGATGATGAATTATGAGAAATTCTTTCAGCAACTCATGGAAATATAACATAACATGTATAACAATTAGAGGTGGCATTATGTTTATGTCGAGACGACAAGTGTTGAATGTGTATAATACACAGACATCGGAATTTTATTTCACCCTCATTTTCCGGATGGGGATAGAAAAAAGTTTGTATTCTATATACAATATGATATAATACATTTTATCGTATATACTCGGGAGACCACGGTGGTAACTTCCAGCGCGGCTGCATAATAATAATCGACATACGTATATATATATATATATATATATATATATACGTATACAAAGTAATTTATTGCGACGGTGAGCGAAAAACAGGGACGGTGTTCGAAAGGGGAAAATTGCGTTTTTACTCTCTTAAGTTATAGTACACGTCATCGGACCGTCAACACGGCAAAGAGTGTTACGAAATTCGTATAAAATGTATAAGGGGAGAATGACTGAGGCCGCGTGTGCGTATATACCATAATAATATATAGAGTCTTGGTGGCGCCGGAGGGGGTGTGCAGTAGTCAACGTGGCAGTGTAAGAGTGACGGTGGCGGTGAACTCGGCGGCGCGTAAATCACGCGACGCGCACAGCCTGGCACTGAAGAAGGGGTGGTATAGGGTGTATATATATATAGATAGGGAGTGACTGACCAGGGGGAGGGTTACAGATGGGTGGGGATGATGGTTGTATGACGGGAGACGTGAAGCGAAAGCGAGGGTTTGTGTGCCGATCGTAGGAGGGGACGGGTCGGAGGTGGGTGGGCACACGCGAGAGGGTCGAATCGTTTGCAAAACGGTGGCGGTGGCGACGGCCCTTTAAGAATATTTATATATATATATCGACGAGAGCACAATACATTATATAGATACGCAATACGCTTATAAAATATGCACGAACCTGTCCTATATAATGCATCCACCTTATTCCGAAAACAATATTTTGCTACAAATCCGTCTTGTACTATTTTATTTATAACATCCCCGTTTAAGAAAAATAAAAATAAAAACAGATAACCTCCCTACACTCTGAAGTATAATATATTATATGTATATATAACTAAAATATCACCATAACATAATATTATGATACACTAAATAAAATATGCAGCTAAGCTAAAATGCGCATTACCTGCCATCCCTGTATAAGTAGACTCCTGTCCACCGTCCTCAACCACATGACCGCGTCGCCTGCTTGGAAATCGTTGAGCTTGTAGCACTTGTGGTGCAAATAGATGCCCAGGCACTTGAGCAACTCGGACGTGCTCGCTTGTATGATAGTCTTCCGCGGCACGAGGTTGTGGCACGTGTGTGACGGAACCAGCGTGGCCCTAGGCACCAGTTTATCGGTGCAGCCACCGCTGCTGTTGTTGTTGGCCACATCCAGTCCTGTGGTGGTGACGGACCGACGGACGCCGTTGGGCCGACCACCGCAATCGACGTTGGCGTTGGTGTCTACCAACGGTTGCCGGCCCGCCAACAGTTGCTTGGACTTGACGCCGCCTCCACCGCCGGCTGTGCCACCGTTGTCCAGCTTCTTCTTGTTCTGTGACGTGCTAAACCGTTTCCAGCTGAGTGCGTTGATCAGGGCCGAATGTTTTTTCAAGCTCTTTTCCAACGCGCCTCTCTGCTGCTGCTGATGAGGTTCGCCGCCTGTTGTCGCCGTCTTACAGTTATTTTCCGAGTTGTTGTGGTGGTGGTGATGGTGTAAGTGATTGTGATTGTTGTTGTTGTTGTTGTTAATGATGTTATTATTTATGGTGTTTATGTTTATATTAGCTGGCAGCATCATGGATATGCTACGGCCGGCCATGACGTCGGCGTGCCGACGTTTCGTCAGCTGCTCGTATGTAAAGCTGTTGAGCGTGAACTCAGCCGCGCTGGCACTGCTGGCCATGGCCGGGTACACGGATTTGCGGTCTTTGGGGCTGATACTGAGCACGGTTCCCATAGCAGATAGCCGAGCTGGAAACGGCGCGGGCAGGCTTGAACACGCAGGCGGTGTCGCGAGTGCCGGTGCTGCAGGTGCAGCGGCGATGGCCGGCACAACCCTTGCAGGTCCCGAACGGCGGTTTTCGGGTTGATCAGATGTGGCGGCGGCACGTCCTATTCGTACTGTTATCGTTATCTTTACCGATTTCGTCGTTGTCGACGACGTATTCGTCTTTTTCTGCGGCTTAGTCGTCGTCGCCGCCGCCGTCGATGTACGCCGCTCGCGCGGTGGTCCTAACGGCGGCCAACCATTGCGATCGATAGCGGCCGCGGAGCAGCGTCGCAGGCGGCGTCCTTGCGGCGGCCGTCCTCGCAGCTGCGGTGCTGCGCATTCGGTGGTGTGCGCAGGCTGATCCGCTGCACAGACACACCGTCGGACGTGAAGCGTACGGTATAGGATCGCGAAGTCTTCGTGATTATGACCGCGGGACAATGAGCGCGTGCAAATCGGCCGCGAACGACCTGCGCCGCTGCTGACGACAAACGTCGCGATATTATTATCGTGCGCTGCGCGGATTGTCGCGCGTTCGAGACGGGGCTGACACTGACTAGTGGTGATTTCGGGTCATCCCCTGCAGCACACTGGTGCGCCGACGACTAGCACGCACCGACCGCGTACGCAACACAACGAACGTCGAGTGTACGTGGGTGTACGTGTGTGAGAGGGTGCGCGCGTGTAGCGGTGGCGGCGGTGGCCGTCGATAGCGGAGCGCGCGCGTGCGAGGGTGGGCCCGGGGAGCTTTTTACGACGACGACGCCACCGCGCCGCCGTAACTCGAGGCCGGTCGATACGCCGCAGAACGGGCGCACGCGCGCCGCGCACCGCCGTCCGCGTATATATCGCGCGCTGTCGTATTAATTACGCCGAACCTGCGATTTTTGAACGCTTTGCAGCGGCGTGAAATATAATCGTTTGCGTATAACGTGCACACGAGTGTATTATACGCGTGTGGGACGCGTTTGCAGTACTTGTCCGTTGCGCATAGTGTACGATGACCGTACGCTTCTTTCGGGAACGAAGGCGCATGGCCGGCATTAGTTGCGTTTTTATTGTTTCTGCGTAGTCTAATATTGTCGTCGAGCTCGTCACTGGATACGGCGACGATTCCGTCCACATAATAATAATAATAATAATAATAGTGATAATTATTATTTGCAAATAATATCCGTGTGGACATACATTACCTATACAATTTTATTCATACGACCGCATTTCTATAATTCTGTGGAGATTTTGTATAGGCATTATATTATTATGCATGATAGAGTGCTTGATTTTTTTTTTTTTTTTTAATTCATGGCAAGTACTGATCCAATTTTGAGTGGAGTAATGAATATATTGATTTTAAAATGACGTGTTTTTTATTTTCTTGTCAATTTTCAGTTTTTTTCTTAATAATTAGGAAAAACTAAAAAAAAAATTAAGGAAAAATGGAGATTTTTACGAAAATCGATGTTCTTGTTTTTTTACATCGTAATTATTAACGAATAACCATACATCACCAAAGGTTTATATCTACATTTATAATCTTACCTAACCTGTATGATAAAGTTTTAAAATATTTTAAACCATATGGAAATTTTTTATTTTTTTTAGTTTTTTATTCTATTAATATTTATGAACAAAAAAACTTTTCGTTCGAAATATAGGTATTTAATATTAAAGATACATTGTTTATATTTTTATCCTATTTATAGTGAATATAATTAATATATCGTAATTTAAATGCATTACTCAAAGAAAAAAAAAACAATAAATTGACTTTGAATGAATTCATTATTAAAGGAAAAGTGAGGATGAGAATCACCTTATTCCTGTATATGCATTATACACGATACAGCCATAGGAATTTAGACCTGACAATAATGCGTTGTATACACAATACTAGTGTAAACTGGGTTAAGAGACTTATGTCATTACTCATTGTTAAAACTTTAAAAAATGCATGCAAATATACCAAAAATATTAAATTAGATAACTGTGTACGTACTTAAAAACTAATCAATGAATCAACTATAAGTTATGCATTATCAAAGTTTATATAATGCGTTTAAAATTATATTATTCATTAATTCAAATTATATTATACAATATTTTATATTCTAAATAATAATATTCTCAGTTTTTTTTTATTTATAATAGTTATCAATGATAGACGGCTATCTTATAATCCATGTATTGTTGTTGAATGTTTAATAATTATATATCATACAATAACTCATTAAAGTTTAAAATAAATTGTGACTATAGTAGTATAATGAGTAAATTTATAATAAACTATATGATTTGGTATGAAATTTAATATGAAAAATTCAATGCCCATGAATTTATCCCTTCTTAGTCTTAAACTTAATTAAATGCAAACTATACATATTTTTAACACATTCGTTTGGGTAGTTTTTACCAAATTTTAAACTTAAGTCTAAAATTATATACAGTTATTTTATTTCCTGTTACCAGTGGCAACCTTATACAAACAAATAAATATTCGTTTTACATTAGCCAACAATTGGCAGTATGAACCCATCTTTAAAATGTAATACTTAAAAAATTTGCTTTGAAGTGCACATTTTTGGGTGGAGGATTATCCAAGTACCAAATATTGAAATATGGAAAATTTTTTATCGAAAAATGTATTAACAAATAGTTATAGTAATATAAATATATATATATATATATATGTTATAAAAATAAAAATAATAATATCAGTGCATAAAAAGCACTTAATTTTTTATTTCAAATATTTCAGAAGGAGGAAGTTTGCCTCCTCAGCTTCCAGCTACCACACTAGACAATTTATATTATTAGTTTATTACAATATATATGCATTTAGTGTTGATATTTCTGGTGTCTACTATTTGCTGTTGATTCTACTGTTCGAGAGGTAATTTTGTGTACTTTCGGAGTAAGCTTGTATAGGGTGGCTACTGAACAGATCACTATGTTGTTATTTGTATTAGCTATATAATGTAATGTCTTAACAAGTAATGTGTGTAGGATTACACACATTATAGTATCTACTTTACTGCTCTGACCCTACGTAGATCAATACAAAATCCACCCCGTTTATAAATACGATTTAAACAGTTTATTGTGTTGAGATTTACTGTGTCAATTGTATATTGAAAAGCCTAAACTCAATGATATGTCCATGTGTACTTCTAATCTGCAATTGTTTTTTTTTAATTTTTGGTCATTTCAAATAATTATTGGGGTGGTCAGCATTTTACAATTTTTAAATTGTTTTCCAGAACTATTGCAGTATTATATTATAAACTTATTAAAGACAAACAGGCTACAACATTTGATAAAACCTTTTTCTTTGTGTAATATATTTTTGACTTTTGTACTATAATTTATGAGATTCTTGCGTGACCTGGTTTACTTAATGTTTTCCTCCATGGCGCTCATATGTCATGTACTCATGTACAATAGTATGAAGTGTAACAATTGAAACATAAAATGCGTATGTAATACGTATACATTTGGTTTATATTTTATATAATACCATATATAAAGGTTCTTTAACGATTAAATATAAATCATAATAGCTTTGAGCATGAAATGATTATATTTTGTATTTTTGTTGTCTAAGATTCAGTACTAACTACTGATGAATAAAGATGATTTTGATTTTCTGATATTTTGAACATACCTAATAATTATTATACATAAACAATATTATTAATATATATATTAAATATATGTTAATATAATTATTGTGTGCAATATTCATTATATAAATGTAGCAAAAATACAACATTATAACAAATGGCAGGTACTTAATTCATCAAAATTGATTTATACGATTAAACCTGATCATTAGTTAGTATACTTTTTAATAATGTCTACAATTTAAGATGATTCCCGTCGAATTTAATTTATTTTATAAATTTTTGACAAACTTATCAAAATAATAAAATTTATCTTTTCCAAACGATACTATAATAATTATATATTTTAAACTTAAAACTGCGACTACCACAAATACATAAGTTATTTTAGACAAGTGTGTTATGTTATAATAACTGCACAACCTATTATAAAAACCAATTAATGTTTTTCGGTTATTATTTACTAGTTATTATACTTTATTTATATTTTAATACTTAATACAAAGTTTGGGAAAAAATTGCAATATTATTGTAGCGTTAGGCTCAATCGACGCTCTCCCCATACGTTGTATTTTATTTTTTTTTGTTCAATCATGATTCATATAACGGAGTATGTTGATCCCGTTTAAATTCAAATGGGGTGACTATTAAAACCCGCACAACGTGTAGCGTCCAATGCATTGCCCCTGTTACAAAAACAACATTATCTATTTGTATATAATAATATTTATTAGATATTACCCATTTCCATTATATTCATTATTCATGTCATTGAACTTTTTTGTTTATTTTGTTCCAAACTGACAACTACGGCACAGCAATTGAACTTCAAAACAAGTAGAAAGTATATACACCTATATTATTTAAAGGGTATACAAAATAATAATATTATTATTATTATTATTATATCAATAAATAAACAAATGTCACACAAGGAATGTATACTTATACTATAAAATATTAATATATAGATTCGATGCGCCATATTAACATAAGTTTATGACATTTATTATCTATAAGTATAAACGAAACGTTGAAATATTTAAATAATAATCATCGACCTGAATTATATGTAACTTTATAAGCAGATACTAATTTCGTATATTAATATATGTTTAACATTTAATAAAATATGTAATAAATATAACCTATATATAAGTAATACAATACATAGGTTATTATTATATATAAGAGTATCTAATTTCAATATTTTATTTTAATTATACTAGAGAACTAAATTTCTTCAAATTAACAAGTTTTTTGGAAAAATATTATTTAAATTAAAAATATTATTAATTTAAAAAATATGACTTTGTCTATTTTAAATTCTGAACGGACAATGTATGTATTCGTCTCAACATTTTTTTCTCCATCTAATGCCATCTAAATAGTAATAAAAATGTATGAATCTTAAGCTTTCAACATAGTTTCTGGAATAAAATTGTGTCTAGTTGATATTTTAGTGGTTCAACACTAAATAATTCCCGATACGTTTCAATATTTATAGAAAATTAATTTTTAAAAATATCTATATATTGCAGGTATTTTTTTGTAATTTAAAAACGTATAATCGTCGTAGTAATTCAAAATTTTTATCAATAACTTTTATAAGTATTTTCTTTACATAATATTTAAATAATTTGAGCTATTTATAGACATTTAAACTATTA